GCCATAGTATTCAATAAACCATTTTGAATAAATTTCGTAATTGGAACTTTTATATCTTAAGTTCTCCATAAATTGCAACAGTTGTATTAGCAATGCATTGATTGAAGATCTCTTTCCGATAACATATGGTTTCAAATGTGTTGCAATAAATACTATAGTATTTATATATTTTATTTATGTATTATTTTATATTTTTCGGGTTAGTTCGGTATATAATATAAATATTTCCCAACCATTTCTCTCTGTGCATAGATGCTAGAGCAGAAGTCTCCGGCAGAAGTCACTGGGCCGTGGCCAACCAAACCCAAGCCCAGTGGTCACCCAGTTGGACTCAGAGGCGTCTGGTATTCGGTATCGGTCGTTGGATCGGTCATGTCGCAAGCTCATTTTTTCCACAGCTTTTTTTTCTGTTCATTAATTGCCAACATTTCATATTTTATTTCAACGCTATTCTTCTGGCCTCGTCTCTCTCGCCCGCTTTCCATTTGTTTTTCAATTATTTTTGTGGCCGCTGGTGTGTGTGTTTTATATATTTGGTTGGGTTTTTTAAATATTTTTTTTCCCTAGAAATCAAGCACGCTTGTTGTCGCCAACGTTGTTCGGTCGGTTGTCGTCCTCGATTTGTCTGTACTTTTTGTTTTTACTCCACTGAAATTCCGCTTGCACAGCTAAGTTCGGTGTCGGACTTTCTGGCATGAGCAGTGCAGTGCTCAGCACTTCCAAAGCGATGTTGATTATTATTATTGAATACCCTGGGTAGCTCCGATAACTTTTGACATGAACCAGAGTCTACAGACAGATAGGACTCGGCTCGAGGCCTGATAAGGCAGGGATCGGACTTTGTCCACCAGTAGGGAGCATGCTGAGCCAAGGTGATGCCCACCCATCTAGTCAAACATTCAATTGCGTAAGTCAACTGATACGGTCACATATCTCCCTCTATATAGAGCATAACCATTCCATTGACATCCAACAATGCAGGCTGCGAATAAAAAATGTTTAGTCTGTCATTTTGTTTTTAAAGTACGTCCAGCATCCGCCTACGAACTGACAATATATTCACACATTTTTTTATTGCCCATCAAATCATGTGAAGCCACGATTTTAAGAATCTGCAGTTAGCACTTAATTAACATTCGGCCTCTTTGACTCCTCCGGATTCAAATTCGGGCTTGGGTGATTTATCATGTGAGAAGATTGCCTTTCATTCTGAAGTTTCGAGTTCACTGTGGGTCAATCTGTTGTTGTTTCTGCCGTCAGGTGGGCATTTGCATATGAGAGCGATGGAGATTGCTGCCTCATAGCGGATGCTGAAATTGTGGGAATTCGGAAAACGTTTAGAGCACAATCGAATTGGTGAGATGGAGATACGGTTCTCGAAAACCTTTCAACCAAGCAACAAAAGGGAGATAAGTTGAAAACAGTCCCAATAATGGGGATCCTCGGTTAAAAAGATAAGGAAAAAGGGGGATAGCATCAAGACCCTAATATATTAGAATTTGTTTGGAAACTTCGTACATTTTGAAATAATGATACTATAAAATTGCCTTATCAATGTATTTTAAACATGAAAAAAAGCTATTAACTTTAATAGCCTAAAACAATTTGAACTGTTTTTGTTTTATACTTTTAACTTTGAGTATAAGATGCTGAACTCCAGAACAAATAAGTTATATATTCACAAATTACATCGTCTTTATAATGGCGTTCTAAGTCACTTCAACAGTTTTTTAAGCATCTTAAAAAAGTTGGGGATGAAGTACTTAAAAAATATATTACTTTCTATCCAAAGGTTTCTGAGGTTTAATCAGACTCATCTTGGAAACGATATAAGGTTCGCTCCTCACTTTTCCCAAACAATAATTTTCTTTACCTAAAGTTTCTTACCTCATTCGCCCTAGAAACAAAGTTTTATCACCCTTTACAATGGGATTCCGAGAAATTATGAAATTTCAATTGGAATGATTCACTGCGAGTACCGAGTGACCAAAACATCTCGATTCGCTTTGAAATTCATTTGTCAAAGTGTGGCATTGACCTTTGCATCAGTATCTTTCGTCACGGAGAGAACACAAGCAAAATTGGCACATATTGCGAAGACCGAAGCGCTGCTAACCCACAATTAGCATCTGGAACTGGGGATCGGGATCTGGATCTCGCATATGCCACAATTTCCCTTGACTTGGCTTTGTTTTTATTTTTTGTTTTTTATTCTTGACATTGCCAGTTGCAATCTGCAACTGTGTTTTGGGGTAAATGCATTAAATATTCTTGCACAAAAAAGTGAGTGCGAAAAGGGAGTGGGCACGATCATCTCATCTCATCTGGCTGGCATCTCTTTGGCGCGATCTTTTTATCTGGTTTGTTTCAGTGTCGTGAGAACTTTTTCGCGTTTGGGCGCACATCGTGTGAATTGAATAGCCGGGCGGTGGAAGGGCAGTGGAGGGGAGGGGCGTTGGGTTGCGGAAACTCTCTGGGAAGCGAAAGTGTTGCAAGTGCTGGGAAAGCAATCGGCCAACAAGCAACAGGCAACAGCAACATTTGTCAGCGTTTTGCAATTGCCGTGGGTATCAATCGAACACTCCCTTCGCTAACCCTCTTCAAATAATGGGAAAATTGTTTTTATGGGAATACTGCATTAACCTCAACTACCTTCTAAGCTTGGAAAAACATTCATATAATATTGGAAAGTATGAATATAATTATCTTTAAAAATATAATAATCATATTTTATCATAAACCTTCTTTATATTTATAAATATATTATTTTTTAAATAGTTATTATATATATTAATATACTATTTTTTAAATAGTTATCATATATGTTAACATACTATTTATTAGATAGAATCAGTTGATTATTTTCAACGAGTTAAGGTTTTAAAAATTTTCTAAACTTGCATGAACATAAAAAATAACTACCATTTTTCAAAGCTCTCAACTAATCTTTAACATTTTGTTTTTTATCATTGCAGGTGAGTTCGCTGCAGATGTCCAATCTGGGTTCTTTACACATACATATGTTCGTTCGTGAGTCGACAATTAAAGGTTTGTAACGCAATTAGGCAGGTGAGCTCGTGACGAAGTTTAGCTCAAATCCATTGAATGAGTGTCCAAAAAGAACAACAACCAAACAAACAAACAAGAATCCGAATTGAGAATAAAATGCCAAACAATTGGAAATTCATTAAGGCCACTGTGGCAATCGCCGCTGTAATCAAATGCAACATTCAACTTTAAACTGCGGAACGCCGGGCTAAAACGCTACTCTCCGTTGTCGTGGCGACGAATCGTAGGATACCAAAGTTATGCATGAGGTGTTTTATGGCAAGAACGGCTCAGAGTTGTTACACAGAAAAAAACATACATTTAAGTTGATTTTAGCTACTTTTAGCCAATAACTCTTCACTCTTAGTTAATTCAAAATTGTAGCAAATGTGTTATTTTGGGTGATGTAATAACGATTTTTTTAGATCTTATCAACTTTTGTGGTTGGATACTATTGACTTTTTAAAGGTAGGGCCACTTAAAAAGGCTCGTAAAATTATATCAATTAAAATCTATTGATGTCATACTTTTTTAAAACCTTTTTTATTGGTCACAAACTTCTTTAGAGGTTGGCTAGATTTTTGCACAGTGATTTTTTGAGAGTGCAACAGATACCCAGCTGGCTGCAGCCAATTGTTGCACTCTGCGATATTGGACAAAAGGCCAACTTCCCCCTCGCACTCAACCTCACCCCTTTTGGCCCTTAGTTTGGTGGTGGCGACACCGACACGCATGCGCATTGCCCGACAAAAGGGAATTCCCCCACCCATTGACCCACCCCGCCCCCGCCAAAACAAAAACAGAGAGCAAAACAAAGCACAGACCAAAATACGGAGTTGGGAAAACTTAACGCCTGGTTGCCCACATCGGGTGTTCTTTCTCCCCCGAGTCAATCCCTCCCCGGGAACCCTCGATACCTCGATCCATGTGAGTGCGCTTGCGCCAACGCCGACGCAGAACTGAAGTTAGAGTTAAGGTATGACCTGTGGACGTGCAACAATGGCACACGGGGGTTAATGGTATTTCGTACTAGTTTATATGCTACGATACGACGGCCATTATGCGACCGCTTCATAACTGGAACATCGCAGAAACCAGCACAGTGGGCACACAGGCGACCCGTGGATTTGCATGGCACACGCGAAATTCGATTCGATTCGTGTTCGTGATTTCACAACTCTGTGCGAATGGGCGCTGACAGGGCTCACCTTTGTACGCTAAACATGAATAATGCTGATAAATCGAACGCTAATCGAAGTCGGTTCTCTGTTCCAAAGGTTTTCAAAAACGTTCATTACATGATTATAATTTTTTGTTTAAATTACGACAGTCCGATTTCCCTCTTTTTAAAGGGACAAACATTCATATTGTAAAAATTCAATAACAAATTCAATGAAGTCAATTCAATACAAAGGCAAAGCATAATATGCCGCCAATAAATTTAAGTATTAGCCATCATATTATAAATTTGTTCGAGTTTTTAAAGCTTAACTATATTTTTTGTGTAAATACATTTTTTTATTATTTTTTTTATTGTTAAACTTTAAAAATGTATTACATTTGGTATGTGTTAATTTTTAAAGTTAGTTTTGTAACGAATTTTATTTGAAAAGTCGATAAGTATATATCGGGCTGTGTCTTCGCTAGATACAGCAAAGTTTCTTACCGGAAATGACACATATCGAAATATCGGTTCGAAGCTGCGGTACCATCATCAAAGTTTTCTACCATCCCGATATCAAAGTTCCTAACCATCCATTTAAGACATGTAAGTTACATTGTAAAAAAGAAAAAATACAATGTAAAATCAATGTAAGCTGCTCAGGTTCTGTATATCAACGCTAGATGTCTCTTGCAGTCGGCAGGCAGTTACTTTTTAAATTGTCTTCAATTTCGTTTATTTATTTTACAAAATTATTGTATATTTTCGACCCTAACTGGACTTGTAAGATATAAAGATTTGCAGATATTTACTAGTTCTAAAATGTAGGTAATAGTTTTGGCGCTTATTTTAAAATTATCATTATAAAGCAAATGTTTTTGTCTTGATTATTCGATGTGGCGGTCAACAACCCACTTGATCCAAGCTACATGACGCATTACATCCGTGAAAACACTAGGACTGTGGCACTCTGGGTTGCCATAACTGACAATTCCGACCTGAACGAAGACCACTTGATTGTCATACAGAAACGCATGACCCATGGGTCCTCCGGAGTCGCCGCTACAGGACTCTCCGGACTCGTGGCTCACGCAGATCTGATCCCTGCGACAATTGACCAGGTACCTCCTGCGGCACTCACTTCTATCCACTCGAGTAACTCGAATGGATTTCAGAGTGTGGCTCGGAGATCCGGACAAGCCGCTTCCCCATCCTGTGGCAACCAATCTTTGGAGGCGCTCAATTCGTGGCTGAAGGGCAGTATTTGTGATCAGGCAAATCGGTTTGATGTGTACTGCGGAACAAATTAAATTGTGAAAGCCAATAGGTGTATAAAGAAATATCTATGAATTCTTACCTTTATACTCTACCGACTTGGCCAAACGGAGTAACCCAATGTCATGATAGCGATTGGTTCTCGAGTAGTCACTATGACGAATGGCCAAGTTGATCTCGAACTCCTCAGAGGGTGGTATGCAATCGGAACCGCTACAGTCGAGGCTGGTTAAGCTATCGAACTCCCCCAATCGCACTGTTCTAAAAGTAATAATACTTTCAGTCAAGTTTTAAAGTTCCATATCATACATACAAATTCTCTTCGTTGTTTATGCAATGTGCGGCTGTCAGGATGAATCCTTCGAAAAAATAGGGATAAAAGAAGAAATCTTTGGTGCGGATTCTACTTACGATGGTTTATAAGCGAGCCGCCACACACAAACTTTCCGGAGTCGTGCAAGTAAGCCATCCAAGGGCTTTCCGAAATGTGTGCTTGGTGGCCTTCGTTCTGCAGGGCCTCCGGAGACATATATCCGCAGTTTGGCTCCAGAAACTGTGCATTTACTTGATGATTTCCTAAAAAGAGGTATCCTAACAGCAAAACCCAGTACATTTCGATTGAAGCGATGCAAGCAAACTGAAAGATAAGTCGTTATGCCAGGGAGAACCTTATCAAGAAATTCTTGGATGTATGTGTTTGAATTTTTCTTACGAAGAGTCTTAAAGATATGCGATATTTAAAACAGTATTTTAATATGAGTATGTGGGTTATAAAAATGTATGGTTCGATAGTACATTAACCTTGATTTATTTAAAGTACTATCAATTATTTTTGGTATGCCACTCGATCCAACTCGAATAAGGGAGTACATTTGTGAAGACAGTGGGTCCGAAACAGTGACCTGGGCCGTAACTGACCACTCCGAAGAGGATAACCCTTTTCTCACGCCCGAATTGCAGCCTAGCCGTTAGGGGACCTCCAGAATCTCCACTACACGTGGAACTTGTGCTGCTTCCCACACATATGTGGGTGTGATCCATCTGCCTGCCAAAATATTGGGAGCAATAGCTTAAACTATAGTGCGTCAAGGATGTTTGCTGAAGGACAGGACTATTTGTTCGGGCTTCCGTGCGACCCCATCCTGTGGTGTTGAACTGCAATATATTCTTCAGTACATTCCTCGACCAATTCGAATCTCCCATAATCATGCAGATTGGCCTTATGTGCTCTGGATTGGAATATTATAATATTTAATTTACATATTTTGATTCGTCACCTCACCTCCGTACTGAACTACCGTTTCCAGTCTGAGAAGAGCAATATCATTGCTGTGGAAATCGTTGAAATGCCCATGTACTAATGTTCTTGTCACATTGATTTCCTTGGGACGGGGAATGCAGCCATAATTCGTGCAATCGAATGGCTGATTCACGTCATACTCCCCCAAGCGCACTGTTCTAAATCCGGAATTTAAATATTTTCCAGTTATGTTTACAATAACACTTACAATTGCCGATTGGTTTCGCTTCTGCAATGCGCAGCTGTCAATACATATCCTTTAGAACTTCACAAGTTATTATCTGTTGGTAGTCCTTGGCGAATATTTTTCAAACTACATACGTGGTGTTATCAGCGATCCACCGCACTTCATCATTCCGCGTTCGATGATAATAACCATCCAGGGATTGGAAAGTAAGTCTGCAGCTCTGCCATTGATCACACGATAGTGTCCTGGCTCAGATCTAGCTGATACGCACTGTGGGTCCAGCAAATATGGCTGACCCTGCACTTTCACACAGCCGAGGGCCAGAAAAAGTAGGAGCCTTACTGCTCCAGTTCCCATTACTTGCATCTATAATAAAGCACGAACTGACTGGAAATAACATTGCCAACGCCTTTATTAATACATCCCACAGTCGAGCTTATCGGTAATGTAAGCGGTCAGTGGTCCGGATTCCAAGTGAATTGTCGTATATATGAATTCCGCGAATTATAAGATCGGATTTGAGTTCTCAGTACGCGATAATAACGCATGGTTGTATTTCCACATATTCCATATCACCAAAAAATCCTTTAAGTGACTGACACTTTAAGCTTTAGACAAATTTGAACACTTTACCACAGGCTACATTAAGATGGTCCCTAGAGGGAGTGTATTTGTTAACAAAATATGTTTTACAAGTAGGAAATTCATGAAAAACTACATGATGATCTCACAGATCTCGAATTTTCAACCAGTTTTGCAGATATTAGTACGGCCAAATCCTCAAAATCCTATTTTTGATCAGCGAGGCTCCTCGTTGTCAGCGATTAAAGCTGTGCGAACTTACTGATCGCTGACCGGAGCTTACCATTGGGTTATTCCCGACAGATTTCAAAGCCCATGCGATAAGACAATTTATTGCAGTTATATTGATAAGAATTGTAGAATGAAAATAGCGATATTATATGGTTTAAAAATAAACTATATTCTTTAATAGTTTAAGGGTTGCTCTTGCTAAAAATTGGGAATCATCCAACGTTCGCACAAGGCGTATAATAGTAAATTACTGGTGCTTGGTATACTAGGGTATACTGTGTGTATTGTCGCACGACTCCCAGGATCCAGTTGATATGGTGCATGACATTCGTGTAGACCGCATAATATCTGCATGTGTTTTCGCCATAACTGACAATTCCGAGCTGAGCAACACGGTTTGTACCGTTTATTTCTATTTTAACGGATATTGGGCCCCCGGAGTCTCCGCTGCATGTATTCGAGTTAGAGTCCCCAGCACAGATATGAGACATATCCACTATATTTTTGTAAAAGGCTGAGCAATATGATCGATCCACTTGCCTCAGGGTTGCGGTCCTTAATATGCTGCTAGGGGATCCATTTTCTGTGGTACCCCATCCAGTGACAGTCAAGGAACTGATGGAATTCAAGGGATTGTAGTTGGTCAGCAGACAAATTGGCTTTATGTAGTCTGGGGTAGATTAAGTTTTAATTGTGAATCATCGCAAAACTGACATTTTACCCACCTGTATACTGCACTTCCCTGGCCAGTCGAAACAATGCTATATCATTCTGGGTAAAATGGTAATAGCTTAGGTGAACTATTTGAGCCTCAACGGAAATTGCAATGGCGTTTGGCATGCAGGCTGTGGTCGAGCAATCGGTGATGGTAGATCTGTCAAACTCCCCTAGGTATACTAGCCTGTAACCAGATGGTGAGGTCAAGGTCTTTAAAATAATTATACAAATGTACTCACGTGGGGTAGCTACTTCTGCAATGGGCAGCACTAAGCACAAAGCCTGTATATGATATTAAATATTTTGTTTCCTCTTGTTACTACTGTTAAAATACTTACGGTTTGTTATGAGCGATCCACCGCACGTGCCGCTGAGACTACTTATCAATGCCATCCATGGATTACCAAACATATCTGCCGTTGCGCCATTGAGTATCCTAGGGCTAACTCTAGCCCCAGTAGTAGTAGATCCCGAAATCGAAACTCCGCAATCGGGATCCAGGAATGATACAGCGATCTGTCCATTTCCAATGATAATCCCTGAAATCAGGGTAATAACAGTTGCGACGATCTTCATGTCAAAGCCCGCACTAAAAGATTGGGAGGCCAGGGTCCCGGATTTTATAATTTGGCAAGCTCGGAGATAAGCATAAAAATATATTATGGAAAATAAAAAATACATTTGACATTGCCGGGTTTTTCAAGGAATTTTATTAAATTTTTATTACAAAAAGAATAGTAATTTTTAAATAAATAACATTTGACATTGCCGGGTTCTTCAAAGAATATTATAAAATTTTTACTACAAATCTAAGAATAATTTAATAGTATGTAAATTATGGATTTTTGAAGGTTCCTTTAAAAATATAATATTTTGTTTTTGCAAAATAGTTTTGGAATCAAAAAACACATGTTTATTATGGGTTCTTATATAGTATGTTCACATATCTTATGTTCTTAAATCGTTGTTTATGGTTTGTCTGGGCAAAGAGCTAATATGGAAAGTATGTGAGTAAATCAGGACTTTAAAGCTGAGAGGATTTTTCTCTGCTGATCGAGTGAGGGGAAGTGGAGTCTTACTATCTCCAAGAATTCCCCCTATTTCTCTTCGCTGGTGCTGGATGCTGAGCAATCGTTTCCTCGGAAATCCATACACATGCCCACAAAGAGAGGTAATATCAATTGAGGTGTGGGCTTGGCCCGCCATCCCCATCGCCAGCATCTCGTTCCCCGATCTCTCTCTCTCTTGTTTTCTCGCTGGCCAAGTCGAAGCTTTGGTAACGGCCAACGCTGACTGCTGCCGTTTTGTGCTAAACCGGTTTAAGTTCGAAACTCTGGCTGCACACACTCAGAAAAAACACACAACTCAAGAGTTGAGAGAGACAACAACAGCAACAACAACGGCTGAAATAATCATTTTCATTTGAAATAAGCAAATGGGCCGCAAAAAATGAATAGCATTGGAATTTGAATATTCGAATTGGAATGTTCGAACTTCGAACTACAGCTATGGAGACGATCCGAAATTAATTTTTATCTAATTATGAGTGCTTTGTTTGTATTCAATATGTGACAAGCAGGTACATTTCAGCGATGCTATTATAAATTGGTTTTTATGGCTTTGTTCTGAGTCGTGTTAAATACCAGTCGAGGGATTACTCAGTCTGAAAGATTGGGAGGTATTGATATTGGCAGTTTTTTCTTTAAAAAAATTTATTATGTATTTATTTAAATTATTTTAGAGTATAATGGTTGCATCATTTATTATAGTGAAAATTAAATATATTCCTTTTGAAAATTCACAACCCTAATGATAGTAAAAATTCTATATTCGTAATTGTTGGTTAAGAAATGTGTTATAAATTTATTTATTTTTCTTATAATATTAGATATTCAATATGATTAAGATATTGTTAATTTAAAAATTCAAATGCTTCTTTTTTTTGAAGTTTATAAACAACTGAATAACGCAGCAAACAATAATATGTCCGAGCACCCTTGAAACACTTTCGATATGCATTAAAGCCAAAATCCCCTTCTTCCACATTTATTATTAGTTATTGGCTTAAATTTCCGTAGCTGGGTAGAAGAAATAATACCCTAGCCATCACTAATCGTGAGTGGATCTGGATTTCTGGATTTATTGACCTTGCCGGGCTGCTGGCATTGGGGCGGCCCTCTTGGCTGCCTGAATCCTTACATTTCGGAATGCGGCTGTGGTCGGCCTGAGGACGGAGGAGCGATGTTGCTGCTGTTGTTGCTGGTGTCAACATCAGCAACATCGAACAGCAACAGCAACAGCAAAAGCACGTTCGTGGTCTTGACTTTGGGCCGAGGCTGCGACTCTGTCGCCGCACGTACAACAACCATCTTACATAGCCGCCGATTAGCCAAGGTAACAAACGAAGAACTGGCCCAGACCCGGCTCACATCCAAAATGAGCTATCTCACTGCGCAAATCTTTCACTTCTTCGTAGTCGTCGCTCTGTTCTGCTCGGTTCGGCTCGGTTCTGCTGTTGTCGCTGGCTTTTAAGGGCCTTCCAGGCCTGCAAGCCTGCCATTTATCGCAAATGCATTGTGGCAGTCCTCCACGCCACTCCACTTTGCTCCACTCCAATCCATTCCTCCCGAGTGCCCCATCTTTCTGGCTCGGCTTTTGTTTCATGCTCCATGGCTAATGGCACGCAGGCTCCACAGGTTGCCGCTGTCGAGTGTTGTTGCAACATGCTGTTGTCGACGGGCGCCCTGCACTCGAAGGTCCAAAGGCAAAGGCAAACGCAGACCCAATCCCCACACAGAGAGAAATAATGACCATCGTTTGGAGTAGGGCTTTTCCCTGTCTCTTGTCTGTCACCCATTTCTTATCGGGTCAACATTCAAAAATATTATTTGCTTTATATTTGGGTAGTCAATATATTTTTATAAGTGATACTTATTTTTTATGAGATCATATTTTGCCATATATAATATTCTTTTAATAATCTAAAAATAGTCTCTTTAATTTCCTGGAATAGATTTTATTTTGCAATATATTATATATGGAGGAGGGCTTTTACCTGTCTCTTATCTGTCACCCATTTCTTATCGGGGTCAACATTCAAAACTATTATTTGCTTTATGTTTGGGTAGTCAATATATTTTTGTTAGTGATACATATTTTTTATGAGATCATATTTTGCTTTATATAATATTGTTTTAATAAACTACAAAAAGTTTCTTTAATTTTCTGGAATAGATTTTATTTTGCAATAAATTATATATGTATTTTATGATTTTCAATTGATGATAGATATATAAACATGAGTATCAATTCGTAGAAATTAAAACAATAAAACGGAAATAATTTTTTACCAATATATTCGATATGATGAGAATTTAACTCTGTTAATTATTATATAATCTTGAAGTAGGATACCAGAACTATCTTCATGTTAAATGCTTGATTTCTTCTTGTTATAATGGAGTATTGCAATGATTTAAAATCGAAAGACCATGATAAAGAGTTTGATATCATATAGTACTTTTCAGACAATGTGGAAGTGAGATGGTTCTGATTTCTCTGCGTGGAGCACACGTGTGCGTGGCTAAAACGTCCGTTTCTCGGTTTCTCGACTTCTCTCCGCGCTTATCGCCACCAGATTCTCTTTCTCCGAAGGTGCTTCTGCTTATCTGACCGGAGTGGCATTCGCTTCGTGCTTTATGCCCGGATTAAATTTAGCAAATCGAACCGATGCGCTAATTGAACTTGTTGCTGTCCGCTGGCCAAAATGGCCGCCCCACATTGTTGCTATTGTTGCTGGCTTGCCATAATTTACATTTAGCGGCACAAGCCACACATTGCAAATATTATGGTCGGCGGGACAGACTGGACTGAAATATATTTTCGTGGGTATTTATAAGTCGGCGGGCGGGGGAGTACTATACTTGGTCCCTCGAGGGGAGACAGAGATCTCCATGGCCAAAGCTCCCCAGCGACTTGGACGCTCATATTTCACACTTCACGACAAAGTGATTAAAGTCGCGCAAACAATCTGTTATTGGAGTTGTTGCAATTATGTTTACAAAGACATTAAAAAGGAACGAAAAGCGAACGGCGAAATAAAAATACGAGGAACACACAGCCAGCCAACACAGCCAAAACAGCGCTAAGCCCAAGCTCAAAAAACTCGGAATCGCTTCGAGAGACGTTGAGGCACTCTTTATTTTGTATTTTTCTTTTTACCACCGCTTGTTTTTTGTGTGTTTTTTGAAACGTGAGTCGTGCCCCAACAACACAGCAGACGACGGCGACAATCAATATAAAAAAAAATCAGTAAAAAACCAGAAAACCAAATATAAAAACAAAACTCTTTATGCTAAAACGATGAGATGAAGTCAAAGTTTCTGCGTATTTGCACGCCTGCCTTTGCGGCTGGGGTTAAAGTTAAGGCAGCGGTCGATCTTATGGCCAATTAGCCGGGCTGAATGGGAGGAATGCTCCTATATACATGTGTGCCAGCTCTAAAGAGCCATCAAAGCCAACTCGAATGTGCCGCATCATTTTGGGGGCCCCAGCAATTAGCTTTAATTCTAAGCAGCTTTTCACAGCCATGTGACAAGTTGAATGCTGATGAAGCACAACCGCAGCCGGAATCTGATCGATCTATCATCTGTATCGAGGGATTGCCAAGGCAAAAGGGCTGTGCCAAAGGGCCAGGTAATCCAATTACGCGCCTTTGGGTGTTTACTGTTTAGGGCTGGCACGCGTTTAAAGTTGGCCAAAATTAAGGTAATATTTGGGCAACAGATTGGGGTACTTCCAATTATAACGCGTTAAAAGAAAGCTATTTGCGTTGTCTTTAAAATACGCTAATGGTTATTCAACTACTGTTATTAATCACATTCTATTCTATTAATAGCTGGCAATTTTACATATTTTTAGACCACCTAGGGTTACCGAAAGTCAAATAAAATACCTTCATAGTTCAAATTTCATCTTGTGATTATATAAAGTTTATTTATTCATTTTATATTATTAATTTAAAATATCAATCTATACTTGACAATTTTAGAAATTATATCTACATCATTTTGTCAATATAGTTTCACATTTATTTTTGGTAAACTTAATTGCCTGATGTTTGAGTGGAATAGGATCATTATAGCGTGGTCTTTAAAAGTATTTCAAGGGCATTTAGACAGATTCTCAATCATGTATTCGCAAAAAATGGAATACTAAGGCCTGTTTACACATTCTGTAGGTATGTATTTATGTTTTCCCACTGCTGAGCACCATGTGCCAATGTGCAACACTTCATAATGCAACGAATTCGTTGCGCCCTATGGGCTGGAGCATCCCTACTCGGCCTGAGACACTTGAGCGCCTCCTGAGCCGATCTTTTGTTACTCTTAATCTGCGTGGCACTTGAAAGTAACGCCTCGACTCCGATTCTCCGACTTCCAGACATCGATGGTGATGATCACGATGGTCCCAATGATTCCGACAACCTGTAGAGCGGCCAGGAATCACATCAAGGGTCTGGTTCTCGAGGCTTTCTTTTGAATTCGGGATGGGAAAAGCAGAGGAGATCATAGACAGATGGAGTGCTGCACTGGAGTGGGGGAGTTAAAAAACATTTCTCTTCGCATGGCATTTTGTACGCTTCATCAAATGTTTATGAGTGTGGGTCGGGGCATCTCGGCGTCTTGGGATCGTATCTTACACCTTTCGAGCGTCATTTACCTGTGGATATGAGGAGTGGAGTGGTGGAGTTCTGGAGTGGCCTGAAGTGTTTTCAGAGTTCTCGGATCGTTCTCAACTCGATGTTCGGCTGTCAGATGCATGCTCTTCGATTTTGACAGATGATTCTGTACGGGTTGGGCCAGCACTGGCCTTTGATTGAGGTCTGCTGGCAAGATGGCTATTAATATGTTTGATTATGGCTGCCAATCGCTGGAGATCGGAGCGGCGCTTTCCCCTCTACGAAAACTCTTGGAAACGCTTTTCAATTTAAATGTATTTTCATGCTCTGAAACAAAGCGCCGAGCGAGACAATGCAACGCCTCTCGAGAGTCGCAGCGTGGGACTCGAGATTCGAATACGGCACGGCGAGTTGGTTGCGCTTTTCCAAGTGCACCTTTTGTCCCCGGCATTTGTTTTTTGAGTTATGCCAAAGTGTAGAGGTCAAAACGGTTCGGTTTTACCTGCCGCAACAGTGTCCTTTTGGCCCAATCCCAATACCAATCCCGATTCCGTTCCCGCAGAGCACATGGCGCAGGCGTAAAAACCCCGATTTCTTGTGGGCTGTGAACAGGTGAAGAAGAGGCCACCGAGATCTTGGATCTGCCCTAACAATGTTGACATCGCTCGAACAGAAATCTTTTTGCCAAAAGACAATCCATGGCCCACGCAGGCTCAGCTCACAGATACAGATGCGGGCACAGTTACAGATACAGATACAAATGCCGAGATCTTGTGTGCTTATATGGCAGCATTGCCCACACACACTTAAATGTGTACAACCAGGTGAGAGAGCGGCGATCGTTTTACCTGAGCGTTTTCGAATTCGCCGCATTTCGAATGCAACAACAACAACAGGCGACACTAGACAGCAGAACCTCCAGCAACAACAATAGTGCCAAGAAAAATTGGGATATACACAAGATCTTACCTGTGAGAGCGACCTGCAATCGATGCGAATCTTAAATGCCCTGTTCCAGCTGTCGGAGTTAAGATGCTGCCGGATTATCCCCGAATTGGTATTTTGCCCTTGTTGCCATTCGGTATTTTCGGGGGAGGGGAAAATCAGAAGACTGATTCTCAAGTACTTACCTATAGTAACGAGAGAGATCCTTACTATAGTCTCAGTCATAAATGGTTTAAAATTACAATTGATCGTTTGTGTTTTCAATAACAAAATGGTAAAAAATTACATGCTTTAACAGTTTGGATTTTCTAAATTTAAAACTTTATCATAAGTTCTTGAAGCTGAACTAAGAATTTTACTGGATTTTTATGATGATAACGTCTACAGTTCACTTTGTTTTAAAAGTAGATTTCAAAATATCTCTAGATCTATAGAGGTTTATTTTTCATCTTTGAATTATGCCCCATATTTGGTAGAGTATCTCCACTGTATTGTTATACAAATGTTCTCTAAGTTAGGGGTATCTAATTGTTATCAATATAATACTCTATAGTTGTACCATCTTAAGTGGGTATTCCCGATCATTAATATTCAATTCTGATGGGTTATGCCAAGTGTTTCGCATGTTATGTAGAGCATTTGGTGGTCAGGGCGGATTGCCCAATGTATCTCACCGTTTCGTTTCGTATTACGCTGACTTTTTAAAACGCTGCTACGTTTACGATTACCTGTGGATGTAGATGCCCCGCTGTCGGCGCGAGTGGGAGGGGTATAGTGAGCGAGCGGGAGAGGGCGAGAGCGGTGTGCAGCTGTGCTCTATTGTTGTATTTGCTGTATGGCTGGCTTTGCTTTTATTTTTACCTGATCTGCGCTTGAGATTTCGCCGCTCACCTTTATTTTTACCTGTGAGTTGGCTCTCTTCGCCGAGAAAAGAGATTGTGAGATACGGATTGGATTCGGAGAGAAGAGAGAGAGCGAGAGAGCTGCGGCTTTGGCTTCGCTTTTGGTTTCAGTCTCGAATACAACTTGTTGCTGCGCAGACGCGAATCGCTCCGTGCGGACAGTCCGAGTTCGAATCCTCTGCTATATCTTTGCTCTCGATCGCGGCGATTGCTAATTCGACGATCGTGCTAATCGAAATACCGAGAAATCGCAGAAATCCGTAAAAATCCCAAAGCCGAACCGGGGTGTATAGCAAGTGCCTTTGGCCAATACTAAAACGTATTTTTGTGATTTCCCTGCTAATTGGCAGCCGGGTCATTCTGCAGTGGCTCGAAAGTGCGCAAGATGGCCAAGTGTGTTTTTGTGCAAATTAAAGGCTGTGGGGGCAAGGCAAAAACAATTGCTTAGGGCAATTAAAGCTGCGCCTGCGCCTGCGCGCCCCTTCCTAACCTCAAAAATCGAAGTCTGCGGACAAAAAAAAAATAAAAGAAGCTGAAAAATACATCTGAAAAATAAAAAAAAAAATATATAAAAGCCTTCGGACAACTCTTGTGGCTCGTAATGTGAAACTGGTTCCTATAAACACACACACACACACGTTCAGGCGTTGAAAGACCCACTCGAAAATACACACACACACAAGCACACACAGTGAAATGTAAACACCCATACAGTGGCAAATTGCAACGACAACAGCTTAAATACAACAACAACAAAAGCAAACGCAGTGAAAGAGTCGAAATAAAATTTATATAAAAAGCTGTATCTTTGGCACGCAAAGCTGAGCAAGCAAAAAAAGAGCCGAAAGTAAACCGCAAGTTCAAGAAAAACAAAATTTAAAAAAAATAACCCCTATGACGTCAGGGGTTATTGGTTGGAACAGGGCTTGATTCATCCCACTGTACCACCCACCGCCCACAATGCTGCTGCGTCGGCGCAACGGCCTTTGCCTCCCCCTTTTGCTGCTCCTCCTGGCCCACTGCATCTGCATTTGGCCCGCCTCGGCGATCGCCCGGGATCGCTACTCCCGCCAGAACAATCGCCAGCGTCATCAGGACATCGATCGAGATCGGGATCGGGATCGTTTCCTCTATCGCAGCAATGCGGACAGAAATCGGCAGAGGAGCAGTTCCCATTTCGCTCTGGGAGCCAACGGATCGATTCCCACCATTCTGGAGGATCAGAACAAGAACGAGTTCGTCAAGGGGAAAAGTAAGTCGTCCACCGCCAGGATCTATCCATCTTCTTCAAAAACTGCGCCCATCTATCACAATGTGTTTGGTTAGATCATCTGCCTGCCCGCCCATATATCATCCGGAAAAGCCAAGTCAACCCATATATGGCCACCGTATCAGTTTAACTCCAGAGTTTCCACCGTTTTTTTTTTTGGGTTTTCAGTTTCGTTTCGGCGATATGCTGTCGGTTATCTTATCGCCCAGTGGGCTCTTGTTTTGGTTTTGTTTGCCCCTCATGCTGCACTTTATATATAGCTATGTTTTCGGCTGCATTTCGTATTATTAGGTCTTATCGTTACCCTGCAAATGTCAGTTATATAGGGGTGGTTGTGCAATATCGAAAAAGGAAAGGAATATCTTTTAATATATAAAAATGTTTTTATTTTTATAACAGAAAAGTAAATATCTGATAAAATTGCTGATTGTTACATAGGGATGAAGACCTTTAAGATAGTAATTTTCTTAATTGAAAATAAGAACATTTCTCTGATCTACATTTTTAAAAAGCTTTAAATTAGCTTTAATTTTAGTGGTATTTTAGTTATTTACTTACATCCTAGAATTAAAAGGATAACTTTTGTTTTTAGTAGTAGTATCTTTGCTTAACCAAATATCAAGTATACGCCAGGGTATCATCTAGTCATAAGGGCACTTTCCCCTACTTGCTACCTGCCCTTTGCGCTGGTCTCACCTGCCCTGTGCCTCACCTCTTGACTTGGCGCTGGCTTAGTCAAAGAGTCTTGTGTGCTCTTTCGCCCCTGTTTTGAGTTCCCCCACACCTCGCCATCAGATATCATGGTAAACAAAATACCAGAACCAGAACACACTGATTAGCCAAGGAGAGCATTTCGTTGTGCATTTCGTAATGTCAAATGTACAAGGTAACGCGTAGTTAGTTGGTGTTCAAATCGCTCGACTTTTCCCGCCGTCTGCGTGCCCTTTTCTCTGCATCAGCAGCAGTTGCAGTTGCAGCAACAACACACAACTAGCGACACAATTTCCAGCTAAAATGGCGACTCAATTTGTTGACTCCGCAATTCTCGAGGTTTTCTTTACTATGGGGTTCGGCGGTTGGGCGTTGGGAAATTAATAAAAAATGTTATTCGCGCTACTGGAAGTTTCGGCCAGGCTGGCTGTTTGACTAACCATTTGGCCATAATTGAATGAACAGCACTGCGTATCTGGTCGTGTCTGTTTACACAATACTTTGAGGCAAATGTTTGTATTTGGCGGGCAAACAAAAAAGTGAAAAATTAAAAAAAGGGAGGACGTCGATAGCCAGTATTCAGTGATCTTGTAGCTGCAAATTAATAACTGTATGAGCGCTTTGTGCGCCAGCAACTGTGCAAATATTGATAGGAAAACTTTGGCCAAGGGGTCTATGCTAATGGAGGACAACTGCCACATAGCCGGATATGCGGATATATGGCTAGATAAGCGGGTTATGCCAGCCGATAAAGATTCCTGCCTCTGAGCCGATAATCGCCATGGAAGTTACCCTTTTTTTTCGCCCAGACGATCGTTGTCACAATGCCCTTTTTCGCAGAAATTGTTCGAGTTGTTTGCTTGCCGTTACTGTTTCATTTTTTTTTTCTTTATGACCATAAATAAGCACAGCTGCGGTAAATATGCAAATAAATGCTAGAGAAAAGCCTGCACGTGCAGGCGAATCGAAACCGTTAAACAAAAATCGTAGAGGGGGTTGAGAAACTTGAATAACTCGCAATTGTTGTTGACGTCTTTATAGCACGAAACACTGCACTCACTGGCAATTAACCGTCATTCATTTCTTTATTCATGCGAATTCGTAGTATAACTTTAGATTAACTTATCAATATATTTCGTAGAATTTTGCATTTGTTGTAACTAATATAATTATTGGCGTATTGGAATTTTTCGCTGGAATCTATACTTGTTTGTTATTATTTTGTAGTAAAAAGTAGCTTCTTATATAAATGGAACATTAACGTTATTCAAATATGGTTATTTTTAATAAAAAGTGCATAAATGTTTTTAGAATAAAATATTTATTGTCTTAACAAACCACAAGAGTATGTAATAGTTATGAATTTTTATAGATGTGGGCTTCCCCAATTTCTTTTAGTTTCTTCTTGAAGTTCCCGAAAACATCCTCGTAAATAGTTAACCATTCCTCCTTGATTTTGGCTCTCAAATCTCCCCCCGCATAGATACACACCAACACACACACACACAGTTTGAGTGTGCGTGCTAGCGCTTGAAAAACCGCATTCCATAGTGCGCTTTGCTGCGATGGCTTCGTGAGTACAAGTCCGAGTCCAACCAGCATCCCAATCCGATCTCCAGCCCCCCGAAAGCCCCCATTTTCTATTTTCCAGCTAATTACGGCGACAGGCACGCGCTGCCTGCGCCTGTGTGTGTGTGCGTATCTGTGTGCGCTTTGCATTTTTCCACCATATTTCTGATTAAGCCATCATATCAAAGAAATAATGGCCAAATTGAACTGCGAAATGGCCAGAGCTTGGCTTTCAGCCAATGCTGAACTTTAAGGCCTGGCCTGCTGCAGTCGTTGATGCATTAGCGTTGCATTTACTTTTAGCTGTTCAACTACTTCCAGCAATTTTGAGCCCGAGTCGAAATACTGGTTTTCTAAAACCCACACAGATAAACACACCTCTGCGAGAGAGAGGAGAGCGTCAGAAAAATGGAAAACATAAAGAAAGAGCATCTCGGGCTGCTGCGATTGCGCAGTCTGTCGCTCACTTGTTGATTGTTCCAAAGAGCTCGGCTCTCTGGGCACATTTGTTTGGTTTTCCTGGACCCAGAGACACTTTTCCTGGGCTGCACAGGAAAAAGATTGTATGAGCTATAAAATATTCCCAAATAATTGAAATATATAATTTCATTGGAATATATCATCATGTATCATGGATATATGACTACATTTGATTTCTGTAAAACCATATATCTTATCATTTGTCTAAAATATGTACATACATACATTGCATGTAACAAGTAATAAACTAACTTTGAATATTAGAAGAACCATATATACTTAAAGCTTATATAGTACTATCATATTTATATACCATGAAATTATCATTAATAAGTAAGCCATATTTTTTTCCGTGCTGACTATTTTGAACTTTTGACTGCAGTTCGCTTGACTTTCTGCCTCCGCCTTTTTTCTTTGCCTATTTTTTCCGCATGTGGGCGTTCGATTTCGAAAACCAGAGTTAAAGCCGAGGTTGTCGGTCCTCTGCCCACGAATTGCTGCCGTTGCCGAGATAGCTTCTGAGACCTCTCCCCGATTTTCTTTTCCGTCTCGCTCTCGGGCCGTTCTATGCCTAAAAATAGTTGCGAATGCGAAAATTCAAAGCCAGGCAGCAGACCAAAAATGGCGCCAGGGCGTGCTCATTAAGCCAAGTCCAAAGCTGTGGCCAAAAGCTGCAGCTCAGCCCAGTTGGGGGCTTTTGATGATGATTAAGGGGTTCGGGGATTGGATGTTGGATGTTGGGGATTGGGGATTGGGGTTCCAGAACAAAGAGTACTGGCCAAGGCGAAAACAATAAGCTTATCTAATCCAGGCATTGCTGTTGCGCTTGCTGTTTTGCTGTTTTGCTGTTTTACTGTCGTGCCTCACGACCTGCGCCCAATTGTTGTTCGAAACAAAATGAACGCGCTTCGAACACGAAAACCCGAAAGCAGAAGATGCTGATCATGGCGATCTTGAGGATCGTGGTCCGGGGACCGGGGACGGGGATCGAGGATCAGGGGAGGGGCGCTGAGGAAAACCAGCCAGATGAACCGCCACAAGGCATCACCATCACCATCATCTCCAGCCAAGAGGCCTTTTTTTGTGCCTCTTGTTGCTGCATCTTCTTTTCATTTCGTTTCGTGGCCGTTGCCTGATTTGCCTTCGGTCAGACACTGGGAGAAATAGGGGTTATTATACCATTTTACCCTAAATACCCAGTTCTAGTAGTTCAAATCTACTTATTTTTTTGGTATTTACAAAGGATATCTATCATAATGTTTGATATTCTGATACTGCAAACATTTATTTCACATGTTTCAAACAATCTTCAGTACAAAGTCCTAAAAAAAGTATTACAATTTATTTGAATTATGTCAGCATATACAGCCAAGTCTATTATAAAAACAAGATTTTAAGGAACAATACAATTTTAAAGCTATCAATGCTTATACTTACTCAAACATCTGAACTTCATTCTGTATATCCTAGAAAGTGTTGGGTGAGTTTAAAAAAAAGGTGTTTTAATATAACATTTTATGTTAAAGTTATAGTCGTATATTATTTGAAGGTTTTGATAGGAAAACATGGAACATTTTAGTTCCGTATGTACATTTTAAAGTTCCTTTCAAGAGGCTTGTTTTTTGGCAGTGCCCTTTTCGTAACCGAGGACAGTCGATTGTCGGTGCTTTGTTGTTGGTGCTGCTGCCTGCAAATTTGTTGTGCCAGGCCAAGCTGAAGATGCGCCTGGCTTGAAGCGTTTTCTGGCTAAGATTTCCTGGCCCTGTTCCCCGCCCCCTTACCCTCTCCCCGCCTCCCCTGAAACCATCCCACCACCCGCTGCAGTTGCGCTTATTTGCCTTCGCCTTCGTGACGCCACGATGCGAGCATAGAACAGCACCGCTGCAAAAGCAGTCAACACGAAAGAAAGTTGCCGCAACAGCATTCTGCCAAAGCGAAATAAAAATCAGAAGGAAAGAAATGAGAAAAACCCGCGGAGAGAGAGGAAAATTGCAAAATCCGCGCACTGGAGACTCTGGCTGTGGCTCCAATCCGGTGGTACACCAAAACCCCCCCCCCTCCCCTAATGAGCTGCGTGTTTTTAATGGCCGCACAAATGAATTTATTAAGCACTTTTACACAATTTCATTGTAAAATAGGCGCGTGCCGAGCCGCCGTGGACTGAAATTGTCGCAAAACAGTTATGAATTATTTATGGGGAGTTGATTTGAAAGGGGGAGGGGGGGGGGGGTAGCTTACCGTACCGTACCGATCGCATTGCAGTCGCCATCGGACGTTAATCTATGACACCTTGCGATCCGGGCAGCTGCATATCTGAATATCTGCATATGGCGCCCGATCGAAACTTTCACCAGCGACACAACGCGGATCAAATCAATGTACTTTACTTGCTCATCAAAAGTATCTCCAAACTCAGTGAACGCCAGCGGCATTAACGGGTAGACATTGGCCGATAATTTGATCGAATTGGGGGATAACCAACCATTCGATCGCATAGCTCTAAATCTAAACTCTGAGAAAACAAAGCCCCTGCCTAATGCCCTTTTAAATCTTTTGTTATATTACAACAAAATCTACACAATTCTTGTTCTTCGCATTGCCCCGGGGCGAGGGTACACAAAAATGTTGCCAGCCATCTGGGGTCTCTGGGTTTTGTTTTTGTTTTTTTGGCTTTGGTTTCGGTTTCGGGCCATGAGTTAAAAATCTTTTCCACGAAATGAAAACACAGATACAGATACAGGTAAGGGAAGGTAAAGAGCGCCGAGAGCGCTACAAACGTGAGCAACAAAAACTGTTAAGTGCGCAGAACCGGCTGAGCGAGTCGGGTCTGTTGCAGCGATAAAGTCGGGTATTGAGGGATCTGGGGATCGGGGGATCGGGGACCTGAGGAGAACGTCAAGAACGCTTTGCGTCTAGGCCAGAATCGTTGGAAAACTTGGGGTCCAAAAGTCAAATTGCCGATGGAAAACCAAAAGAATCGATTATGCAGTCTCTTGGCTTTCTTCTAGGCATTTCCATCTTCGAAGAAAAGGCAAACACACAGCAGCTGGAAAACAAAAACAATATTTAGAAAGTCAGCAAAGTAAAGTCCGGAATGCGGTTGCCTATTAATCAGTACGTCTGATGAATGGCCAGAGGGGGGTTTGAAGGGCGGTTGGAGTCGTGTGTGTTGATGGCTTGGCATACAGATCGATAAACAAATACAGCAAAATACAACGATTTTCCAGAGTCTGCCTCTGCGCTTGTATTGGTTGATTAATCTCGGCGCTGAAGTTCGTTGCCTAAGTCTTTTGTTTTAATGAGCACATCATGAATTATGACTTTGATTTGTGCTGTGCTGTGCGGCGACTGATGGAGAGGCCAAGTCCCCGTCTCCGTCCCCGTACCCCGGCCACTCATTAATGTTGCCACACTTAGCCTTAGCCTAAGGATTACAAATTAGCCTTTTTGTGAGCCCAGGCTGCCGAGGCGGCGGGCGTGTCGCGCTGGCCAAGAAGAAAAATCGCAAATGCCCCGCCACGCTCGATTCGCAAGAAACCCGAGTTGAAGCGTTTGCCTGGCAGGGAATCTCCATCTCCACGGCCGTCGCGTCGTGGCTTAGGTTTCAGGCCTCGAACATGAAAAACCTGGCTGATAAATTGTGCGCGATAAAGCCCAGTCGAGGAGTCGAGAGTCTTGAAAAGGGTTTCGTGATGTCGGCTTCGTTCGGCATGAGAAATGAAGGCGACTGATGATGCTGCCCAGCGGCAGCCTCGACCAAAAAAAAAAATAAAACAAACAAAAAGTACAAAAAAAAAGAACGGCCAGAAACAAAGCTCAAGAATTTGTACGAAAATTTTTGCGCTTCGATTGCTGCAGCCGCTTTTGATCAGTGTCCAGCGACAAAGTCGAGGTCCCAGTCGTGGCCTCACCTTCGCATCCACATCTCCTGCTGCTCCTCCTGCTCCCCCATCTCCTCCTTTGGCGGAATGCATGGGACGCATATCTGGGGGCATTTAACTTTTTCTTCCCATCGCCAAAGGAATTTCTCTCGGTTTCTGGCGACAGAAATATTTCTGTCTTTGGTTCGTTTCTCTTCATAATTATGGGATATTTGTTCGAAGGAAATCGATAAAGTTGGTGCTGGGAGGAGCGGCCATTTTGTGGATAATTAGTTGGGTGCTCTGCTCCGTGGGTTGGGCTACTCTGCCCTTTCTTATAGGTGGGTGTCTAACTCCACCACTCCAACTCGAACCACTGACACATGGCACACTTTTTTCGACCCACACGGACCAGCCCACATGGCCCTTTTCATAAGAATCTCCTCATATGAAATTGTATCTATCGGATGCAAATCAATGAAGTTGTCGCCGAAGATGCGCGACTGCGCGACTATGAGATCGGCCAAAACAGGTCGCTGACTAATGATAAGAGGCCGTCTGGGATGAGAAGCGAGACTGCGTGGGCTGCTAATTATTAAAAACGCCAACTGGCACTGAGTGTCTCGCGCCCACTGGTTTTGTTTCGGTTTCTACCTCATTTTACTGCTTCCGAGCCAACAAACAGCCGGGCAAAGCTATTTCCGTTTACGATCCAAACTTCGAACCCAAATTAATTTCCCCAACCTGCCCAGGCATAAGTCAATATCAACATCAACACCTACCTACAACCTGGTGGGCTGTGTATAATTGGACAGTTTAGGGTCAGCCGAATCGAAGAAATCAACCAACATACCCATTAGCCCGCATTAACACCCACAGTATTACAACGATTTCCCTTTTGTCAACTCTCTTTCCAGTCTGCATCGGCACCAAATCCCGGCTGTCGGTGCCCTCCAACAAGGAGCATCATTACCGGAACCTCAGGGATCGGTACACAAACTGCACGTACGTGGATGGCAACCTGGAGCTAACTTGGCTGCCCAACGAGAACTTGAACCTGAGCTTCCTGGACAACATTCGGGAGGTCACCGGCTACATACTGATCAGTCATGTGGACGTCAAGAAAGTGGTATTTCCAAAGTAAGTATAGCCTTATATAGTAAATATTGGTATTTTCATTCTATATGATAGATATGTTAGAAGTAAAGTTATCCCAATCCTACATTTTTTAAGGCCTTATGCCTTGATTTTTCACAATCTTACTGGACTTATTTTAAATTAATAATAATTATTAATTATGATTCCCATTTCAGACTGCAAATCATTCGCGGCCGCACACTGTTCAGTTTGACCGTGGAGGAGGAGAAGTATGCCTTCTTCGTCACCTACTCCAAGATGTACACGCTGGAGGTTCCCGATTTGCGAGACGTCCTTAATGGTCAGGTGGGTTTCTACAACAACTACAATCTCTGCCACATGCGGACCATCCAGTGGCCGGAGATAGTGTCCAATGGCAAGGATGCGTACTATAAGTACAACTTCACGGCTCCTGAGCGCGAGTGCCCCAAGTGCCACGAAAGCTGTGCCCATGGCTGTTGGGGCGAAGGTCCCCACAACTGCCAAAAGTTCAGCAAGCTGACCTGTTCACCCCAGTGTGCCGGAGGTCGATGCTATGGACCCAAGCCGCGGGAGTGCTGCCACCTATTCTGCGCCGGCGGATGCAATGGACCTACGCAGAAGGACTGTATTGCCTGCAAGAACTTCTTCGACGAGGGCGTTTGCAAGGAGGAGTGCCCACCCATGAGGAAGTACAACCCCACCACCTATGTGCTGGAGGCCAATCCGGATGGCAAGTACGCGTATGGAGCCACCTGTGTGAAGGAGTGTCCCGGTCACCTGCTGCGCGACAATGGCGCCTGTGTCAGGAGCTGTCCTCCCGACAAGATGGACAAGAACAGCGAGTGTGTGCCCTGCAATGGACCCTGTCCCAAAACCTGTCCAGGTGTTTCAGTTCTCCATGCTGGAAACATCGACTCCTTCCGGAATTGCACGGTGATCGATGGAAACATCCGCATCTTGGATCAGACCTTCTCGGGCTTCCAGGATGTCTATGCCAACTACACGATGGGGCCACGCTACATTCCCCTGGATCCCGAGCGACTGGAGGTCTTCTCCACCGTTAAGGAGATCACTGGCTATCTGAACATCGAGGGCACCCACCCGGACTTCAAGAACCTCTCGTACTTCCGCAACCTGGAGATCATCCACGGTCGCCAGCTAATGGAAAGCATGTTTGCCGCCCTGGCGATCGTAAAGTCTTCTTTGTACAGCCTGGAGATGCGAAGTTTGAAGCAGATCAGCTCCGGCAGTGTGGTCATCCAGCACAATAGGAACCTCTGCTACGTAGGCAACATCCGGTGGCCAGCCATTCAGGTGCATGCCGAGCAGAAGGTGTGGGTCAACGAGAACTTGAGAGCGGATCGATGCGGTAAGTTAATATGACAATTTGTAACTAGGACCTATAATTATTAAAAATTTCATTTATTATGATACAGAGAAAAACGGAACTGTTTGCTCGGATCAGTGCAACGAGGATGGCTGCTGGGGATCTGGCACGGATCAGTGTCTGACCTGCAAGAACTTCAACTTCAATGGCACCTGCATCGCCGACTGCGGTAATATCTCCAAGTAAGTAACATAGCATCCCCCTGGTAATATATAGACCAACCAGGTAACTGATTTTCTTTTCCCTATAACAGTGCCTTCCAGTTCGATAATAAGACCTGCAAGACGTGCCATCCCGAGTGTCAGACGTGCACGGGAGCAGGAGCGGATCACTGCCAGGAGTGCGTCCATGTGAGGGACGGGCCGCACTGTGTGGCCGAGTGTCCCGGAAACAAGTACAATGACAACGGAGTCTGCCGGGAGTGCCATGCCACCTGCGATGGATGCACTGGGCCCAATGACACCATCGGTTTGGGAGCCTGCAAGACCTGCAACCTGGCCATTATCAACACGGATGCCACGGTGAAGCGCTGCCTGCTGAAGGACGACAAGTGCCCGGATGGCTACTTCTGGGAGTATGTGCATCCGCAGGAGCAGGGGTCGCTGAAGCCGCTGGCCGGCAGGGCCGTCTGCCGGAAGTGTCATCCCCTGTGCGAGCTTTGCACCAACTATGGATACCATGAACAGGTCTGCTCCAAGTGCACCCACTACAAGCGGCGTGAACAGTGCGAGACCGAGTGTCCTGCGGATCACTACACGGACGAGGAGCGGCGGGAGTGCTTCCAGTGCCATCCGGAGTGCAATGGATGCACGGGTCCGGGAGTCGACGATTGCCTGTCCTGCCGGAACTTCAAGCTGTTCGACGTGAATGAGACGGGTCCCTATGCCAACTCCACGATGTTCAACTGCACCTCGAAGTGTCCTCTGGAGATGCGCCATGTGAACTACCAGTTTGCAGACATTGGCCCCTACTGCGCCTCTCGTCCGCCCAGGAGCAGCAAGATGACCGCCAATCTAGACGTGAACATGATCTTCATCATCACTGGGGCTGTCCTTGTCCCCACCATCTGCATCCTGTGCGTGGTCACCTACATCTGCAGGCAGAAGCAGAAGGCGAAGAAGGAGACCGTCAAGATGACCATGGCCCTGTCCGGCTGCGAGGATTCTGAGCCACTGCGTCCCTCGAACATCGGAGCCAATCTGTGCAAGCTACGCATCGTCAAGGACGCCGAGTTGCGCAAAGGAGGAGTCCTCGGAATGGGAGCCTTCGGTCGGGTGTACAAGGGTGTCTGGGTGCCGGAGGGTGAGAACGTCAAGATCCCAGTGGCCATCAAGGAACTGCTTAAGTCCACCGGTGCCGAGTCCAGCGAGGAGTTCCTCCGTGAAGCCTACATCATGGCCTCCGTGGAGCATGTGAATCTTCTGAAGCTCCTGGCTGTGTGCATGTCCTCCCAGATGATGCTGATCACCCAGCTGATGCCTCTGGGCTGCCTGCTGGACTATGTGCGGAATAACCGGGACAAGATCGGCTCCAAAGCCCTGCTCAACTGGAGCACCCAGATCGCCAAGGGCATGTCATATCTGGAGGAGAAGCGACTGGTGCACCGCGACCTGGCTGCCCGCAATGTCCTGGTGCAGACGCCATCGCTGGTAAAGATCACCGACTTCGGACTAGCAAAGTTGTTGAGCAGTGATTCCAATGAGTACAAGGCGGCCGGTGGCAAGATGCCCATCAAGTGGCTGGCACTGGAGTGCATCCGCAACCGCGTCTTCACCAGCAAGTCGGATGTGTGGGCCTTTGGGGTCACCATTTGGGAGCTGCTGACCTTTGGCCAGCGACCGCATGAGAACATCCCAGCCAAGGACATCCCAGATCTCATTGAAGTAGGCCTGAAGCTGGAACAGCCGGAGATCTGCTCACTGGACATTTACTGCACCCTGCTCTCCTGCTGGCATTTGGATGCCGCCATGCGACCCACCTTTAAGCAGCTAACCACGGTCTTCGCGGAGTTCGCCAGGGATCCGGGTCGTTATCTGGCCATTCCTGGGGACAAGTTCACCCGCCTGCCCGCCTACACCAGTCAGGATGAGAAGGATCTCATCCGCAAGCTGGCGCCCACCACCGATGGCTCCGAGGCGGTTGTAGAACCGGATGACTACCTGCAACCGAAGGCGGCACCTGGTCCTAGCCACCGAACAGACTGCACCGACGAGATACCCAAGCTGAATCGCTACTGCAAGGATCCCAGCAACAAGAATTCGAGTGCCGGCGACGATGAGACCGATTCGAGTGCCCGGGAAGTGGGCGTGGGTAATCTGCGGTTAGATCTGCCGGTCGATGAGGATGACTACCTCATGCCCACTTGCCAGCCGGGACCGAACAACAACAACAACACCAACAATCCCAATCATAACAACATGGCAGCGGTGGGCGTGGCCGCTGGCTACATGGATCTCATCGGAGTGCCCGTCAGTGTGGACAATCCGGAGTATCTGCTAAATGCGCAGACACTGGGAGTAGGAGAGGCGCCGATACCCACTCAGACCATCGGTATCCCGGTGATGGGTGTACCGGGCACCATGGAGGTCAAGGTTCCCATGCCGGGCAGTGAACCCACTAGCTCCGATCACGAGTACTACAATGATACCCAAAGAGAGCTGCAGCCGCTGCATCGGAACCGCAACACGGAGACGAGGGTTTAGACTTCCACCTCGAGGGAGGAGCGATTGCCAATGGATGAGGAGAATCTTGCCAAGTGCCTTTGGAAGCCATCGCCGGCTTTTATCCTAGATGGGAGCCCGTGCGCCTGTACAAAGCCTAGATCGACCCATAGATTTGTATATTACTACCGATATTACTCTCTAGTGTACTTAGCCAGTCCCCCTTTGTGTATATGTTATACGACTTCTCTATCCTAGCCTCTAACAAATCAGTAGTCAGCAGGGATCGTCGTCGCGGTCCTGCGCTTGTAGCATCCATGTAATTACGAGAACAAAACACCGATAGTGCATTTCTTAGACGCCTCCGCCACGCCAAGCTCGAAGAGATCGAGATCTTAATCAGATCGGCTCCACCGGAGGACGCCCACTAAGCTAAGCCGAGATGTCCAGTTCCCTTGGGCGTCAATTACTTCTTGTACTTGTAGTTAGCCGTAGTCTCTTCTAGCGCCTAGTTTCCAACTGTGATATAGTTTTTAGGACTCGACCTAAGGACTTTCAAAACCACGATGAACAAATCGAACGACTCGACACACAATTAAGCAAAAATAGTAGAAAAACTAATCAATGTGTAGCCACATAGCGATCTTATGCAATTTTAGGCCTAGTTTCAAATCCCATTCGATAATATCAAGTTTGACAATCAAATCCCGAGCGTGCCATGCGTCGATCGATGCAAATCTCCTAAAGATTTTGAATACCTTGTTGGCACACTAGAGTGTAAGCGAATGCCTAGGCGATATGTTACTGATCAAAGATACATAAGTAATCCACACAAATATATTCTTCTAATATACAATATATGTACCACATATACACGTGTAGATTTGCCAAGTTATGCTTACTGAATAAGTTAATTTAAATTAAAATAGACTATTTACATATATGCGAATATATATACACAAATAAAAATTATTTTTCAATAAATTAAATTACTTTATTATTGTAAATATTTGGATCACGAGTAAGTATACTTTGGAAGAAATAAAGTACCTAAGTACAGAATTTATAATATTACAAAATCACATTATACCAACTGTCGGTAGCTTCCCATCAAGCAGGCATAGGAAAAAAATTGCTTGTTCTGTGCCGCCACATGTACAGTGTACAACAGCGGTTGGCACACACAAAGCGATGAGCTGCTCTGCCCAAATTGCTCTAGGACACGAAACTTGCCCTTCTTCAAAAGCCTAGGAATCTATATATCAAATCTCAGCTCTGACGTCCTTATAGTTTTTAAGATCTGACTGACGGATGGACATGGCTAGATCGACTCGGCTAGCGATCCTGATCAAGAACGTATTGTATATATCGTATAGAAACGTAAATTCTTCAACCTGTTACGTAGTTTTCTACCAGTATTTACATAACATTATACATTATACTTTACATGTCAAGGACAAAGCGCCATCTATATACTTTACCGGTTGAACCATCACTTAACCGGTAATTGACCGTTAAGCATTCAAATTTAAGCCCAAGCCTTCCAAAAATTAAATTAAAAAATTTACACATATTTTTTGCTTTATTTAAATATTCAATTGAGTGGTTGTTCTATAGAGGGCGTGGTCGCAAACTGTATTTTGTTGAATATATCTATATTTGCATGTAATTGTATTTGAATTGGTGTAGACTATTTAGACGTCGGTTCGTATATATTGAAAAAGTTATCCCATAGTTTACATTCATAAAGGTTCAATTACATCAATTAAGTACTACAAAACTATTTTCGCTGTGAGTTACTCTACCATAGTTTTCCGTGTTTGTGTGTGTGTGATACAATAATTTAAGCCAGCTTCGATTCCTGGCCAATTCGAATCAATGGAACAACTCAAGGTCATTAGCAGTAGGTGGTACACTTAGAGAAAACAATATTCGACTTAAACGCAAGGCTAAAAAACAAAATCAGTGCTGGGCTCTGGGCTCTCTAAATGCTTAATAATACGCACGGGTGTGTTTGCGTCCAGTGTCTGTGCCAGCAAACTTAATTGATAAACATTAAATAACATTTGGATTCAGATTCGGAACTTGCGTCCGCAGCGAAGGGTTTCCAAGTAATTCTAAAAGTTGTTTTTTTTTACTGCTCAGAGCAGTGCAATACCCCCAACGAGGGTGGTTTCAGTTGAATATATGAACAATTCTGGATGGTATTTGCTTATGAAGGTAATAGTCTACTGCAATTTCTGGAAATGTGACGGGTTTTGCGGAGAAAGGTTTGCCAGACAGCTTAAAATAACTAACAAACTTCCATATTTCAGATGACTTCTCTGTTTAGAAGCTAATTTTCGATCTCAATGAAGATGTGAAATCTATCAGAATTGAATATGATAGTTAAAGTTGCTGCTTTGGAATTTCACCTCAAAAACCATGCAATTGTAGTAGATTAACCTTGATTTTGTCAGTACTTGGTATCACTTGGAATTGTTCATATATCATCCTCCCCACCTGTGATTTTTGGTCACCTGACCCAGATCAATTAGCGCCTGCAACGCACATGGATCAGAGGCCTGCGTCGCAGGGAACCCGAACCCGAACCCGAACCGGAACCGGAAACAGAAGCCACAGGAGCCACCGGAACCATGGGAGCAGATGCAGATGCAGCTGCTGCTGGTGCTGCAGCTACAGCCACAGCCTCCTGGGGAGCTGGGGAGTCCCAAGCCAGAGCCTATCACATTGGAACGCGTCGTGCCAGCAGATACTCGGAGAACTGCTGGCCCCCGACGCTGGCCTCGATGGTGAAGCCGGCGTTGAGGAGTCGTGTGAGCACCTGCACCGAGTTCAGCTTGCAGTAGCCGTTGAGGGGGAAGCGGATGATTTGCCCCCAGTCGCCCTGGTTCCAGGACACTCCGCTGCGACTCGACTGTGTCGCCTGGCTGGCCTCCGGGAAGAGCTCGTCGAGCAGAGCCCGTTCCGCCGACAGCATTATGCGCTCGCCGAGGTCCGGCGAGATGTGCAGCGCCACTACCTCGTAATTGCACTCCGGCGATGCGCTGGTCCTCGGGCTCGTCTTGATGTGCCGAGCCGGTGGAGTGGGTGGCGCCACCAAATAGTTGCCATTGCGAACGCGATCCTTGCGCATGCTCTCCAGCTGCTTAATCATCGCTGCGGGCGCAACGGACCGGTCATGTGGAGAGAATGGAACGGGAGACAGGAGAAAGGGGAGAAGAGCAAATTAGCTATAATCGCTGGTGGCCATAACGAGGCTCTATGCACAGAGGAAAAGTATTAAGTATCGTTGGCTAGTTGGAAATCATATTTCTTTGTGAACTTGATTTAATTAATATAATATTTTAAAGATAGGATAGAGGTATGTTTACAAATCATAGGGATACCCGTGATAATTATATTCAAAATAAAGTAATAAAAATTTCTCACATCATTTAAAACGGTTCTAGGACCACTGTTATAAAGATGTGAAAAATACCATATCATTTTTTTTATCTAAGCTGATCTATTTGGGTAGTCCTTTATGCCTTAGGGCAACATTACGTATGTGGGATAAACTGTCTTAGGATCATCAATAAAAAGAAAAATTTTTATGCTGACTTTGAGAGAGATCAAAGAAAAGTAAATAAATAATTTAAAATAATTTCAAAATTGTATTCTACCATACGGTCATAATGAAAATACGGATGAAAACGTCTTCACTTTTAGTATTTTTTTCGACAATTATGACATACAACGTAGCTAACATCATAATACAAATTAGGGTGGACCTTCTTATATATCTTTATGCAACAATACGTTTTAACGACAAACACTTAGGACTGACTACACCATAAAGAAAATAATATTTGTAGTATAACATTGAATCAAATAAATAGGCTCGCGGTGTTCAAAATAACTTTTTGATCCGAATACTTGATACTCATTTCCTCCATGTGTGGTTATCAAACAGAATACGTACGCTCCACCTCGTAGTAGCGAGCCTCCTCCAGCAGCAGCTCCAGGTCCGGGAAGTCCTCGGCAATCAGAAGTCTTGAGTTTCTCATAAAGTTCAGAATGTGGCGGAACATGCCCCCGTCGCGATCGATGAAATAGTGCTGCTTCAGCGAGTCCAGAACGATGGGTATCTGGCCGTTGAAGAGCTTGGCCAGCTTCGACTCCGGGTACTTGGTGAGCGTCTCCAGCGAGCTGGTGTAGATGGTCCCGCCAACGTCGATGTGCACGGGAGCCGTGTAGCGGGAGGCGGCTGCCACACAGGGGATGCCGGTGATGGGCTTGTGGTTGCCATGCAAATAGGAACTGGCCCCCGCCGAGGAGGCTCCTCCGACGGCGGCGGCTGCAGCTGCCACCGCTCCGGGCAGTCCCAGCGGCGTCACTGAGGAACTGGCGGGTGGCGTCGGTGTGGGCGAAGAGGAGTTTGAGATCGTTGGCGAGACGGTGGGCGAGGAGCTGCGGGCGAGAGCCGTTCACGAATTCACAATGAGATGGTTTGTTTCACGGGGACGGGATTCGCCCGTCGGGCTTAGAAGCCCGACTTCATCGTACCGCCAATGGGGTACTCTGCATGTCAGAGGTATACCCGAGTTCTGGATTTTAATGATTCTTGTGTCAAAAACAAACCAGGGTTTTTAACCATAAAGTACCCAATTTAAAAAAACTTGTTCAGCTTACGTATTAAAAAAACAATCAGAAAATATTGGCCTTATGATACTTCATGGCAATCTAGAAAAATACGTCATAAGGTTTCCATGACATTCTAAATTAAATCTAGTCAGTTAGAGAAAATTTAAGCAAGTATCAAAAGGTCAAAAGTGACAATATTCATATTAGAAACTCGTTGGAAACAATAGTCATTTATAATTAAAAATGTTTATTGTCCGGCTTCTTTATTATTATTAATTTGCAACCATTTTTAATATGGTATTGCTTTCTTTTTAAATCTAAATTAAAAATTTGTGCTTCAGAAATTTGTACAGAAATAAAATTAATTTATTTTATAGACTGAAACAGATCTTCATTTTCTAAAATCAGAAATGGTAGCTGCAAATCTTCTTTTTGGAAGGTAATTTATTTAGGATCTATAATTTCCCCTCTATAATTTATTTGTTTATATCCTGGAGCCATACCTGATTTTAATGTCGCTTCTGGCGTAGATGCGGCCCGTGGAGGACAAGTCGCGTGGCTCCAGGGCCTTGACATCTCTTTCGCGCTCTCGATCCATATCGCATTTTTTCCTGTAACCGAGTTATAAAACAAATCTTAGTTAATTACCAGGTAATGTATATGATGAGTTAAGCTTATATAAGTCGGAGGGGGCACACGAAAACGGTAATCATGAGAACCAATTTGACCTCCGCGCCAAACCGAAATCGACTTGACTCTGATTACGGACAACAAAATCGACGAAGGACAGCGAACGTGACAACCAAAATGCCGCGACGGGCCAAATATCGCTTGCAGCTCTCCACAGGGCCCATAAAAGTTCACACACATATACACCGATTTGGATTTGGAGGGGGGACGGAGAGCCAAGTCGTATATATATATTTCATATGGCCATAGTCTTGGGCTGATTGTGTGGGAATATTTGGTTTTTCACTGCGTTTCCATCTCGGTTACGGGGCTTGGGGCCCCAAGCGATCGGCTCTCTGCAGCTTTGGTCGTGGACAAGAGCAAATCGCCATGCCATATACCATAGCATACCATCCCATCGCATACACCATATACCATACCAAAACTGGGCGGCCTGTGGATGCAGTTAATGTTAACGGCCATCGAGTGCATCGTTTTAGCACTCGTTGTTGTAGTTGTTGTATCGCCGGAAGGATTGCCAGTCGAATTTCACACGAAAATCACATTGTTTCGCGGAGGAAAGCGGCAATGGGCGATGTGGGCTCGCCAATTATGACGTGTCAGTCGTATGCGTGCCACATGGCGTATGCGCAACGCGGCCACTGAGCCGAATTAACAAAGTCAACACCAATTACCAAGCTACATCTAAATCTGCTCAGCCAAATCTGAAGCCAAATCCCTCATCACCATCATCATCAGTATCAGTTTCTCGACTCCAGGACCGCAAATTAATAAAACTCAATCAACCAGCCAGTGAGGAACTGAAACGAGTTGGCCCCATATGACAAATGTTCACATGCTTTATGCACATTAACCTGGCTCGCAGACAGTTCTCTTCAGTTATGAATTCACGTTACGTACTAAGTAACCTTGTAAAGGTAGTTGGGTTTGCCGATTAAAAATGTAACTATTTATGATGGAGGAAAATGGTTAGGTTGGGTCATAAAAAATATAAGTAATTATGATGGAGGAAAAAGGTTAAGTTTAACCATTAAAAATATAACTACTTATGATGAAGAAAAATGGTAAAGTCACATATAATACTAAAAGAATATTTAAATATGTACTTAGGATTTCGAGAAAGATTTCGTAGATTGAAAAATTATATTTTTGGTTTTTACTGAATGATGGTTTATGTAAATCTTAGACAAATTATAAGCTTATTTTGCTTTATAACAGTAACATTTGGACTATATGCCTAATACTCTTTTAAGATTATTTTGAAGACTGTAAAAGTTATATAGTATGGTATGTTGCTAAACAGATATAACATTGAATAATATTACCAACAAAGAGCATAAATTCTTCGTTCAGCCGCAAAACAGCGCTATCCATGTAGCTAAACAAGTTTGCTTTTTTTAAATGTTTGAGACCCTGTGGGCAAACGACTGGGGCTGGGTAATTACGATTTGATTAACTTTAACTACATGAACATTCAAATGCGAATGGGAACTGAACAGGGAGTGGATGTACGAGTGTACGAGGGCTAAAAAGCGAATAGAGTCGCAAGGAGAGGACGTCGAACAGGGTTACGGGTTACGGGTTACGGCAACTGGAAACCAAAAGCAGTGCCACAAAAAAAATTGCACAAAATAAATGTCTGCAAGGCATTCTCATGGAAAAAAATGGCGAGGGAGAGGGTCTAAAACTGGGTAAAGTGCTACATAGCTGGGTTTTATTAATTTACGGCAATTATAAAGCGTGAGTAATGCGTTCAATCAAACATTGGATATTCGTTTATGGGATCTGGCTTAATGGTTTCCTAGCCAATATCCTTTCTACCCCTTATCCCTCCTGCCTCCTCCCTCTCTCCCTTTTACTTTCCTTTCCTTCTTGGCCATATTCCTCCTTGGGCCAACTGCTGCAGTTGCAGCCACAAAATATGCAATGCCTGAGCTCTGGCTTGCCACACAAACAATTCAATTTCAATTGCTTTGCGGCCCACTTGAGCAGGTGCAACAACAACAACATGCCCCACACACAACCACACACCCACACATATGGCTGTACAGGTGCACATGTGTGTGTGTGTGGACACCCTGAGCTAACGGTATTGTATATAAGACAAGCACTGCAGTTTGCATCCTATTCTAGTCCATTATCACCGCGGGCGGTATCTTTTCTATGCCGTCTAGTAGCAGGATGAGCAGTGGCGGCGGTTGGAAAGGGGCAGTAGGGGCAGGAGGGGCAAGGCTGCCGGCTGAATGGGGAGCGGGGTTCGGAGTTGCTGGAGTTGTTCGCAGCGCCTTTGGTTACACTTGAGATGAGACCGAGAGGTGAGTCCGTGACATGGCCGAAATATAAGGTTACGATTTCTAAGCCTTAAGTATTGAAGATATGTCAAGTTAGACAGGACAACAATTAACAAACACACATTATAAATCATTTAAAGTTTTTTAAAAATAATTTTTTTTAAGTATCTTGTTGTTTTTAGTACGACTACTTATATTTTTAGCATGCCAAACTATTTTCACATTTTCATTTTTAATATTTAGTTTATTTTAAACGACCGTGATAAAATACTTTCATATTTTAAATGCGATGAATTTTACATAAACTAATGTAAAGCAATGTTTAATAAAAGGCAACCAAAAACATTTTAGTCAAGTTAGAGATTATAGCAAAAGAATATTTAAATTTAATATACTTTTTATATTTGTTATCAAGAACCAAAAGTAAACCTTTGATATTGTTTATAAACTATAGATGCTGATTTCTTAAAAATGTTTAAATTGTTTAAAAAAAAGGTGTAAAGGTTAATCTTTCACCAAGATAATATTCAGACCCCAAATACTCGAAAACTAAAAACCTGACTATCCCACACCAGCCCATGCTGATCTCAAGACTCGTGTCATGAGCTCAACTCTGGCGAATGTGAATTTTGAAGAGTTGCCTTTGCCATAGTCATATTTGTCAACCGACTTCCCCCCATCATTTCGGCATCCTGGCATCCCGCCTGCTGCTCTGAATTCCGAATACTGCATTCTCGGCCTTTCTGTGGCCATCATTTGACATCTTTGCTGGGCGATGGACTGGTTTTAATGGCAATGCCATTAACTCTTAACTCTTGGCATTGCACATTTGCTACGAGGCGGTTGGAGGAGGAAACTTCCTCTTATACTTCTGTCGGAGTTTCATGTTTCATTCGGCAGAAAGAGATGGCTGCTGTGAGCTTATTAGTTTTGCCATTGTTGAGATTGTGAGTGCGGAGCTGGATATCAGGTTGCTGACCAGTCCGGGATGAACTGGCCCCGGGGCGAAACCATTTTCCAAAAAGGAATTATGGACAAAACTGGCCGTTGGCACATGCTCAATGTTCGATGCCCAATGCTGGGAGGATAACTCAGCTCAGGTCCCCGCCCATTCCGGTGCCACCCAGGCAATTCCCCACGACTTGGGGTGTTCGGTTTTCGGATCGGGTAGTTGAGTGGGTTTCGGTTGGGTTGGTATGGGTGTCGGGGGGACATTCGCCCTCCCAAAACAGGACAAAAGCGAAAACAAAAGCCAAGAAATGAGCTAAAGTGCACACCACACCGCACACACACTCACCCACACACCCACACACACACACACACTGAGATAGCGACACACACCTAGGCAGAGCATCAGACGTTGACGACTGCGACGCTGACTATGTAACCCTAGAAAATGTCCTGCGGCCAGCCAACCTTCCGCACACAAAGGCCAGACCAGACAGCCCGAGTGTCCTGGTTGCTCTTAGCACTCGCAGAAAAAAAGGATGCAAAAATAATTGGAAAAGTCCATATAACTATCCCCAATTTACAGGACCATTGACATACTTCATTTTTAAACACTTTGAATCGATAAGTTAATAATACTTCTTCACTTATAAATAGTTGACTATACTAAAATTTTTACAATATAGTAAATAACTAAAATAAGAAAATCTAAACTGTATTTAATCACAAGTTGAATTCAAAGTGTATTAGTTTAGAAAGTTACGAAAGCAAAAAAAGTCATAACTTGAAAATAAAATCTTAGTATAATGCTTAGATCCTATAACATAATCTTTAAGCTATGAACAATTATTTTTAAGTAGGCAACACTTTCTATAGTTGTTTCACAAGATGTTGTATATTTTAGTGTTTATAACAAGGTTTTTTTGAAATATTTTTGAAGTACCAATTATTATCTAAAAAATACCACAATATAGTAGCACATACCACATTTTATAAAAAAAAGATTTGCAAACTAGTATAAGCTAATATATCACTAATAGGTAGGTGTAACTATCAAACTTAATTAAATTCATGATAAGAAACGTTTTTTCCAGTGTTAGAAGAGAAGGCTAGCTGTGCGAGAGCGAGAGGGCTAGCGAAAAAGGGCAAAAGCTGACTAGGCCCGCGGCGATCGTTTGGAATTAGTGCGGAAATCATGGATGGATACGAAACGAAACCAAGCAAGGAAAGCGAGCCAAGCCAAGCCGTGCCTCGCCAAGGAGGCAAGGAGTACGTTGGAATACCGAATGCGGAATACGGGCGGAACTGGGCTCCAAGGGACCCTCGGAAGGTGGGTAGCTTATTCATCAGCACAGCTCTACGGACGAGGAGGGGCAGGCAAGGGGCTATCTGCCCCCGAATGTAATCCACTGGGGCTCTGCACGAGCGAGTGCCCACTGTAGTCGGGCAAGGTGCCCGGTGTTTGGGATTGAAACTTGGGGTTTTCCTGCCCCTCCACCCACCTCTCTAGTGGGTTCTGGGGTGGGTGGTTCCTTCAGGGCTTCTCCGGCTCATACATGTGACTCCGCCGTGTGTGTGTCGGTGGGTGGATGTGGATGTGGATGCCCGTGTGGATGCCGGTTGCCTCCTCATTCATTTATCCTTGCAGTGCTGAGGGCAACGAGAGCAGCAGCAGCAACAGCAGTGGCAACAACAACAAAGGAGCAGGAACATAGCCAGTAACCACAACGGCAAGGATACTCCTCCCGATCCGTTCCGTCTCGTTCCGTTCCGGACGAAACTCAAACCCAAACCCAAACCCGACTGCGACTCCGATTCCGATAAGGCCAAGGGTTTGGGTGGCTGGAGAGCAGGATAGCAGGATGGCTGGCTAGCCGGAGGCGCAAACTTTTGCGATTGGTAGGTAAGTCTAGTCGTGTCCGTTCTGGCTTTGGCTTATACCCCATGTGTACCATGTGTTGCCTGCATTTAAAGATATCATACCTAAGTTGGTCTCCGTCTCCTCAATGCTCCCCAGGCAGCTCGCAAAACAACAGTAGAGTATAAAAGCAGAAAGAAAACAGCACCAGCAGCAATAGCAGTAGCATAAAAATGGGCAAATAAAAAGCAAAACGAAAGTTTTTCAAGGCAAAATCTTATCTCAATTTTAAAACGCCCGCGGCAAAGAAGCGACGTCGGCTGCACTGAATCCACCTCGAAAGTTAATACGAAAACATTGGGAACCCGACTCTGAACCCGAAGATTTATCAAACTGCAACACTTGCAGCAGCACCAGCAGCAGCAGCAGCGGCAGATTATGTTTGACGGAGGCGAGGGCTGAGGATTCCAATTAGGCAGGACTTATATTCGGGGTTGGTTGCCAAAAGAAAGCAAACTTACGGCTCCCGGGAGCTGCAGATAAGGGAATGCGGAACGGAACGCTTGTGTATCTAGCCAAGACAAACATAAAGTAAACACACACACACGAGAGGAAAAATCTGCAAAATGTCCTGGGGACAAGTTGAGAAGAATCCAAATGCCTCGAGCGAATTTTGGGAAGGTCGAAATGGCTGAGGATGTGGAGAGTGACTGCCGCTGCCCTGGCTTGTTTTCGTTTCGTTTCGCAGTTGGCCAAAACCAAAATCAAAACGCTGATGAGCAGGCAAATGAAAAACTTTTGCCGGGCAGTCGGAGGTCCCAAGTAAAACACAAAAAGCCAAAGCCAGGAGGCTCCCCCAACTCCCAACTCCTCCCAGATCTGGGTTCTGGGATCTCGGGCTGCAGTGCCCGAACTCAACTTCTGCGTCGACGTCGTCTTTAGCCAAAGGGTCCAAAATCCAAACGGCGGAGCTGGAGCTGCGGCATATGGGAAATCAGACCGGGCTGCCTCTATGCCCCTTTTCCTTCCACTTTCCCCACACTTTCCCTCTGCGATGCTACGAAAATTGTTAGCCAAAGTTGCAGAATGTGTGCGCCATGGCAAATTGTACAAATATATGCGATATATATGTGAAAATATATATATATGGGGAGTATAGAGTATATGTGGGCGAGGAAGTCTGGCAGAAGTTGAGTGAGTGAGCGAGTAACTGGAGTCCTGGCATATACTGGAGCAGCAGATATTAAAACGCTGCAAGGCTTTCAAAAATAAACTTTGAAAAATTTATTAGAAAATATTAAATAAAAACGACGATTGCGCTGCATATGGCTCACTCAGCAAAAAGCGGGCCAAGGGAAGGTTGTGAAAGGGGTTTTCCGTCCGAAGGGGAGAGGGGTTTTGAAGCTACGTATGCAGAGCAAACATTACTCAGCCAACTCACAAACTCGCCGACCTCCGACCTCCACATGCAAAAAAAAAAAGAGAAGAAAAACTGAAACAACAGCACGACGACAGGCAAAAAATAAATATATTCCGTATAAATCTACATGTGTGTGTCTACCTAGAGATAGGATGTTTTTATTCTGCTAAATTCGAAAATTGAATTGAAAGTCAAAAGCGCAAAGGATAAGCAGGCAAAGCGTCGGAATATTGCCGTAAAGGAAAACATTGCGCATACGCAGCGTTGTTTGCTCGCCGTGTGAGCAAACTGATAGCTCCAAAAGGGGCTTTCAGTCGGGAGGCTTGGTACTTAATCAAGTGTACATAATAATTAACAGCCATGTTTCCACTCGAACAGGGCTCAAACAATGGAACACGATTCGGAAAACGGGTAGCCAGAAAACCAGGCCCACCACTCTACCAAAACCCATTCAGATGCAGTCCTGCAAGTGCAACTGGATTCGCAACTGCAACTGGCAGTGGCAGACAATGCAGGCCGCCTAATTGGTGCAATTTGCGTGTGCATATCGCAGCCAAAAACAGCATCAACAGCAGATGCAACACAAAGGCAACTGGAGTGAAATGCACTTGCCACCGCTGTAGCAACAACAGCAGCAGGTGCAGTTGGCCCAAAGAATCGGGTTTCGGAATGGGTAATCCTGGGCATGAACGAAGTGTAAACAAGGGGTATTACTGGGATTACGAGGGGATTTAGCAAGGTTGAGTGAGGACAGGAAATATCAAGAATACCTTTGAAATATATGAAATGTTGGTTTTGGTAGTGTGACAAAATCCTTCATTTTGGTAATCGATTTTATTATTTGTATTTAAATATTTATTTTGTAAAAATTGATATTTAATCCAAGGTTGACTAGTTAAGGTAGATGTTAAAATAACATATTTTAATCTGTCTAGCTCAACACGGGTTCAGATTATAGTTATTAAGCCTTAAATTATAAAAAGGATAATAGTTATACTTTCTATACATCTAATTTGTTTTAGAGAGGTTTTTCTTAAATATATAAAATATTCTAAAAATGGTTTTAAATTCTTTACTTGGAGTATTTTATATTTTATGTTGAATAGTAAAACTTTAAGCTGTAACAAAACAATTAAATTATAAAAAGGATAAAAGTTATACTTTCTTTAAAATTAGTTGGATTTTTCGGGACTAAATTTGTAGTGAACAAAATATTTCCTAAATATATAAAATATTGTAAAACAGATATTTAATTTTTTTAAATATTTTTTTTTTATAATCGAAGTACTACGAAGAATCCATCATATTTTACACCTCACATACAAGCGATATGCGAAAGTCGTTCCCCTTGCGAAATCAAGCGAGAGCTGCCCTGCCACTCGGTTGGTGGCAAATTGGCAGCGCAATGTTGATGCTGGTAATGATGCCGAATTGCAGCTTAATTAACACACAGCGCGTTAAGAGCTTTTGTGGCACAGCCTCAGCCATTCAAATGCAGCAAGAGCAGGCGAAGGCTTTGACTATTGGCACGTAATGGAAATCACTTTGCCGCTGGTTCCCAAACAGCAGCAGGTATAGGCCGTTAATTTAAATGCGAATCCAAGTAGCTGGAGCCTGAATCCGCTGAATGAAAACAAATTAGCTGGCGGTAAGGGGACTCTCAGATCCTGACAATGCGGCCAAAGAATCGCGAACTGTGGCCCCAGCCAAACAAACAGGCAAACAAACAAGACTTTGACTTCAACTCCGCCCCCTGTAAGGAAACTCTTGTGTCTGGCATGCAAAAAACAAAAAATAACAGCGAGAAACAGCCAGAGATAAGACCAAAACCAGTTGCTTCCATATGAAAGAGAGGGCTGCATAGAATGAGAGGGCAACAGGCGAAGGTCGTCAACGCCTTGCTCCTCCCTTCGGATGCACAGGAAAAAATAGGATTAAATTAGTGGTGCCTGGGAAACAAGGAGATTAGGAATCAGGGGAAAAGCTACTGCCAAAAGCTTAAGTACATTTATTTCTACGATGTTTTAAGGACAGTAAAAAAATTCTGATACTGTGAAACAAGTACTTATTGCCTCTGATTTTTACATCGCTTCCAAAGGTGTTTAAAGGTAGGCAATAAAAAAGTCATTTTTCGTTATGAACTCTTTAGACTTCTGTCTTCAAATTATAATGCTGCATACTTTTAAACACCTTTATAACTTATTTAGAGAATGTGGCACAACTCAGATTTTACCGAGTGATTACCCTTTTTAACTACAATAAATTACCTCATCAAACTTTTGTTTTAAAAATATATTGCTTGCTATATAACTAATTTAAAGACAGTGATTTCTGAGTCACTACCCTTTTTAAATACAACAAATTAGTCCTCAGATTTTTGTTGTCAAAAAACACAGCACAGTCACTTTTTCCGAGTGATTAACCTTTTTGAATACAATGAAACCTAACAATCCATCAGATTTAAGTTTTCTAAATATATTGCTGCATACTTTTAGACACCTTTATAACTAATTTAAGGACAGTGATTTCTGTGGCACAATTACATTTTTTCCGAGTGATTACCCTATTTGAATACAATTCCGCACACTGCAGCTCTCGCTTTGAACTTTGCCTCCTGACTTGGCTGCGACTCAACGGACAAACTGGCGGACAGATGGACGGATGGACCGACGGACGACTCTCACGGACCGTCGATTCGATGGCTAAACAAAAATTTGTTGTACGAGTGTGCTGTGTGTGTTTGGCCCGGGGGTCATCTTTTGGCCGCTTAGTTTTCGACCAGCCACAATACAACCGGTCGGTCATGCCCCCTCCTGCGCCTCGACCCACGACCCCCGCCCAGCACCATCACCCATAGCACCATCGTATTTTATAGCCTTTAAGGTAGAAAAAATAATGCGACTCGTTCTCGTCTGCACACATAACTCAGCCGGGGGCTAAGGTTGCCCAAAAATGCCCCCGGCGAATTTTGTATGATTTTTTCTCCCCGTCGCCGGGGCCCGCTTCCTTCGGCCCTCCCCTTTCCCCGGGTACTCTTCTTACTTTTGTTTATTTCTCCTTTGGTGCGGGTACAGAGCACTTGAGGCGCATAATTTTTTTTTTTAAACAGTCTTCGTTTATGGCGCACAATTTCTGACTTGGCATGTGGGAGAGACGAAAATCAGTTGCCCGGGGCGCTTTTGGCCAAAACCGAAAACCAAAGGGAGAGCGAGATCGGGTGGCCTGCAACTTGGACCGTCGATGTTGTGTTGTGTGTCAAAAATTCGTTTATTACAGAATCTTTTTTTAAACTAATTTATTGGCCAGCTCGAAGGCTGGCTGGCTATCTGGGATTTTCGGGGCATTTTGCAAATGAAAAGCTTTCAGTTTTCGCTTACCGTTTGGGGCAGGAGGAATCCACCGTCAACGGCGATCGTTGATCCAATGCAACAAATGGAGTTCTGTTTTGGGGCGAGAAAATCACAAACAAATTTGCATTAGTTTAATATTAACGATTGCATTTTAAGTGTTAAGCAATAAGGTAGGAGTCCTTATAATGCGGGCTTGAAAGAAATAAATGCTCTTGAATAAGATCCTTATAAAACAAATGGAACTAACAGAATAAACAAGAAAAAAAATTTATTCAATTTTGTAATTTAACACCAAAAATAATAATTTTTAAAAAATTGAAATAATATTTTATTTGATATCAGAACAGATAAATTAAAAAAGTAAATCAATTAAAAATCAGAAAGATAAAATCATTAAAATATGTAATTATTTTGTATTATCTTAATGAGCTGTTAAGTTAATCTTATAAGGTAAAATGGTATTAATAAAGTGTAGTCTAAAGAACAATTAAAACACGAATTTTTAACTCATCTGAAATCATAATAACTTAAGAAAGGAGAAGTTCTCAACTCCATAGTCTCATAAACTTTTAAGGAACTCACAAAAAGGTTGGTATATTTAGGAAATGCACTTTAACTCTTTTTTATAACAACGCGCGCGTAGATAAATAATCTTCGTTTTTTGTTCAGATCTTTGGGACTCTTCGATATTCTCTATATGTATCTTCAATTGGTGATCGCTTGCTGCCTTCGGTTGAGCGATTTCAAATTCAATCAGATGCGCGCGCCAACGAGTGTTTACTTCCGTTTCCGCTTGGCGTAGTGCACCGTTCACAGTTAGACTTAAGTGTTGCCTACTTTAGAGCGCTGGCAATTTACCTCACTTGCATTCGCGTCGAAAGATGGCCGAAGACTGAATTTCCTGGCTGGCCAAAAACTGAATTTCCTCGCTGGCTGATGGATGTTGTTTGGCTAATGGCGAGTTGCGTGTTGCGTCGTTGTTGCAGTTGCGTGTTGCGTGTTGCTGTTCGAGTTGCCTCTTGTTGCGGGTGTAGTGTAGTTCGTTGCTGGCGTCTTCTGTGTTAAGCCGACGACCTTGAGAGAGAGCAGCAGCAGCAGCAGTGGCAGCGGAGAGAAAGAGAGCGCCGTTTGTTGTTTAGCTGCTTGGCTTTCGCACCATGTGATGACCTTATATGTGTGTGTGTGTGAACGTTTAATAGTCTATTTCCGGTTTAAGTGGTCCGTTCTTGCCTCTGTTGTTCTTGTTTTGTTGTGGCCTGCAACTAAGCTGCCGCAATTAACATCGTAACTGTAAATAGAACAATTGGCTTGGGTGAAATGCTTACGCTTGCCTTATGAATCGAGGTATTTAATTAGAGTTGCAGGTTTGGAAAACATTGATTTTAGGTCGATGCCTTTGAACAGGTAATACACAAGTCTAATATTTGTAGAAAAACTAATTAAAAAATAAAAATTATATCCACATAAATTGTCAAAATGGAAATCAATGGGTCAAACCTTTTAAAAAGCTGTAAAATCGTAAGCACTAACTGAACACTGTGGACATTTTAAATAGTCCTATATCAAGGTATAATTTTTGAAAGTTTTATAAATGATCCCAGTTTGCAGAATGATTTTCTATGAATTTTTAAGAAAGTGATACACTAATAAAAGTGGTATTCAAATATATGATCAAATGACTTTCTAAAAATTTTAAAAAATTTCATTTCAATTTCATAAAAGTAAAACGAAAGTTCCCAATTTTGTTGAATTTTTTTTTTAGTGTACTGACAATTTTAACCCACAAGTTGCATTAATCATAGGGACATCTCTATATGCCCGATTTTCTATAATTGTAAATATCAAAGCCTGTTTGTTTTTGTTGCCCTTGGCCATATGTGTGTGCGTGTGTGTGGGTGCATGTACAGCTGACACCCGGCAGTCTGGCCATGTGTTGGTGCGCCTGCCACAGTGTGCGTGAGCGAGTGTGCGAGTGTGCGTGTTTGTGTTAATGACAAAGCATAGAACGCTGGGCCCGCGGGCCAAACGAAATGAAACTTTGTGCGGCATCAGCTCCAGAGACTTTGAAGAAGCAGCAGCAGAACCGTCGGCGGTACGAAGAACGGGGCATCGGGGCTCTGGGACGCCGGGCTGAGCCGGGCTGAATGGCCCCGGGGCAACTGAGGAGCGACTGAGCGACTGAGCGACGGAGGCAGCTGAAATATTTTGTTGCCCCGCGGCAATGCAAAGAAAAACTTGTGATAAATACGCCGCAGGCCGTGTTTCAAAACACGGTCTGGAATGGGAAGTACAGAGCAGAGCGACTACAGTGAGGCCTGCAGTTAGGCAGCTGTAATTAAAATGAGTGCGAACTTTCCACCCACTCGCTGGAAAAAGCCCCAGGGGGTTGGGGCTGTGGGTGGTTCTACCCCAAAAAAACCCCTGCCGAGAGTTGTGTCGCATCATTTTTCATTGGCAATTGTTTCGGAATGCTCGCTTATTTGCCCCCCGGCCAAATTCATTTTGAAGTATATGCGCCACAATAATATTTCGCTTTATTTTCCCGCTGCAGAAATTGCGATCTGGCTTAGAGATGGTATCGTGACTGGGTGGGGTGTTCATCTGAAGATAACCCTTTATGAGAATACAAATATTTTGAATGACAAATAAATAAATGATATTCCCCTTCTTGCTATTTTGTTGTTTCATGAAATTATTACAAATATTTAAATGTCATTCCCCTTCTTTTTATTTTGATCCATGAAATTATAACATAGACATAACACAGATATTCCCCTTCTTTTTATTTGGTTGGTCCATAATATTATTTAACTTTTACTGCACTATTTCAACCAGCCAATTTGAAAACTTTGTAAAACATTTTAGGGATCCATAAAACATGTCAAATTTTAATTGTTGCCTGCGACCACTGGCATTTCAATTTTTCACATTTTATCGGAGCCACTGCCTACGACGAGTGGAAATTGTTGCAATTTTATCGCTCATTTCACTCACTCAGATGGAGAGGGGGTGCGGAAAATGCTGGGTGGGGGTGCTTTTATTGTTTCAAGAGGGGGTAAATGGGAAATGGGAAAGCGGGCTCCTTTATTTTGACGTCGCTTTGCGTTTTTGCCATTTTAAATATTTTTTTAATCACAAGCTCTCGCACACAGATACACCCACACACACACACAAATGGGGCCGAGTCGTCGTATGTATTCAGTCACTCATATACGAACTCATACATATGGCAATACCAATATTTCAAGCCAATTTGCTGCAGTTAGCCGCCAGCGGACTGCCAACAAAATAATTCGACAAAATGTGTGCGGCGCGCTTTATGCTTTATTGTTTGGATCGCTTGGGGGGCAGTGCAGTGGGAGGGGGTGGGGGGTGTAGGGGGTGAAGGGGGCGTAGCTGGGGTTCCGCTGCAGGATTCATATATATATGCCACATATATATATGGTAAAAATGAATGCTCGGATCGGCTCAGAAATCAGCGTCCACATTCATACACTTCCTCCGCTCGTTTGTAATTATTTGTTGATGGCTTTTTAAAGTAGCCCAGGCGCCACGCCCCCCAGCGCACTGACCGCCCTTTCACCCCCCACCCCCCACCCCGCCTGCATATTTATTCAAGGCTTGTGCATTTGCTTGTCAATCAATATCATCACGATGAATGCTGAATGGGAAAACACAAACATTTAAATGCCACAGCATATGCTGAGAATTTCCGCAGATTTTTTTGTTGCTCCCCAACCGCCAACCGCCAACACCAACACCATCAGCATCATCATTATTGTGATTTTTTATTATTACTATTATTTATGTGTGTGCACGGCTCATCATCACAGGCGAATGTGTGTGAGCTTTAAAATATATGTATGTGTGTGGATAGGCATATATATTTTTTATTATTAACGATACCCAGCGAGCAAACAACAAAAACATGCCCACATACACCCATATACGAGTATGTGTGTATATATAAATGTATATGAAAAGGCTCATAAAATTCACAATGTCTGGCCGCGGGGCTTTTACTTAATGATGCCATTTTTGCCGCCGCAGCCTGAAATTCGCGTTAAATTTTTAACGCACGACCGAACTGCAGCGACCACATATCAACCATCAATTCCCGCATCCATCCGTCCATCCATCCATCCACCCATCCGTCCAGCCAGCCATTCATCCATATGTGGCACAACATTTACATTAACATTTGAATGGTAATCATTTTACAGCCAATGCGCTCCATAATGAAGTGTTTGTGTAGCGCTTTTTAAAGACTATCGACGAGCCTTTGAGTTTCAACTAACAAAGTAGGCCCTATAGGTTTCCCCAAGCTAGAGCCTTTTTAGCCATAACTTGGGGAACAATCAAACAAATTATGGCCCTGTGACATTGACTTTTGGATTGGATTGAATTTCTTAAGAAGTTATGGTAACGCATAGCATATCTTTATGTGAACTCATCATATGTTGCTGAGTTGTAGACCTATTTCCTATACGCTGCGTTGCCATTTTTTATAAAATAATTTAAGCAAGAGTCGGTCATAACTTGGCATAAAATAATTACTTAAAAAGTATATATATTAAATTAACCCCAGCATGCACATGATCATTTAAAGTTAAAAGCCAATTTTAAAAATATAATATTAACAAACTCCACAAATAATGAAAAAATGTTCATCAATTATGTTATTTTAAATTTAAATATTAACATGCAAAAAAATATTTAACGGAAATAATCATCATATAATTGACTAAAATATTAAAACCATTTTAAAATAATAATCTGTACATCATTTTAATATATAAATTGATGTCATTCTGATTAATTACATTCCATTATTAAATAGATAAAGTAAATGTTGCATCACTTGTCTCACTTTTGGTTTTAAATAAAAGCATCAGGAAAGTAAATATACTTATTTTATTATATGTATGTTTTAGTTGATTAGCTTAAGAAGTGAAATGATTTAATGTGATTATATTGTTTGCCCCTATTATATTATGTTCGAGGTATTTATGTCTTATTGCATTTTCCCAACCCACTTCTTCAGCTGGGTGAAAGCTGTACTCTCACTTACGAGTGAGCCAGCCATTTGAGAAACGCCTTTTAATTGTGGGCATTTATAGAGAGAGGGAAAAGTGGGGAAGGGGTTTTCAGGAGTCGATTGCCGACATCCTTTTGTCATTAGCAATGCGTGACATTTGTCATTAACTGCATAATGATTCCTATGCAGTTTGGCCAACTTCTCCGACCAAACCCACACACACACACACATAATAGACATATACACAATGAGTGTGTGCGGATGTGAGTGGTATGTGTGTGTGTGTGCATAATTTTAATGATTTACAAACTAGCCCGCTGGCGTTTTTAGCTCGAAAACTGACAGTTGATATCCAAAGACAAGCAGAATGAGGGAAATATAACGCAAAAGAAGATATAGCCGCGAGTTATGAATGGGAGAGGACTGGAGACCGGAGACCGGAGACCGGAGACCGGACCAGTTCTTTATTTCCAGCTTTTTGGGGTGGAACGAGCGATGGAACGGTGGAACGGAAAGGATTGCTCGAACATGCAACTAAGATGGCCCGAGGCGATGCAGAGAATATTGCAGAGACCGGGGAAGAATGTGCAAGTTAAAAATAAGTTAAGTTTTGAGTGGCTGGCGGCCCTGTGCGTTTGTGTTTTGCATATAATGAGGGTTCCATTTCTGGGCCCGTTTTTCTTTTCGAGACTGGTTGGTTGGGCTGGATTGTCACCTGCTGCCGGACGCTCGCTCGCATATTTTGGGCGACAAAAACTGTGATTCCAGTTGGCCAGCTGTGGTAATTATAGGCAGCCGGCACTCGGTGTTGTTCTTAAATTACATGCCACTCCTGTGTTATCCTTTGTGGCAGGTGGTACGGCCCCGCCACGCCCACTTCCACCAAACGGAATTGTCCCCGGCCAGTTGTCCAAACACGTGCCGTGCAAGTGCAACAAGTTACCGGGGCGAAACAAGCGCAAAAAGTGGCAATAGCAACTGTTACTGTTATTCACCTGCTAACGTTGTCAAAGGCCAAAAGCAAACACCACCAGCACAAACACACTGAATCACGGTAGCGTTGAGAAAAGACTGTTTTGGGGCCTGTTTGGGGTCTAAGCCGAGTGGCGTCGAGCGTGTTGCGTGCAACATGTTGCATTGCCGGGGGCACTTTCCGAGCAGCAGCAACACGGGATGTTATCAGCCGCAACGTAAACACAACCACCACAACTAAGTATCCATATCCGCAGCAGGCGACTTGGATCGCCCGTCCAACCGCCAACCCTCCTACCCTCTCTACACTGTCAAAAAACCTTGAAATATGATAATCTGTTTAATGGAATTTTACATCATTCAGGCAAAAAAATCTTAAAACTATATTTTACAACGTCATCGTATTGAATCCTTGTTATTTCATATCTCCTACCTGAATTATAAATATTTTCCAACCAAATTTTAATTGACAATTAAATCTAGGTGAATATGTATTCATGAACTCTGATTTTTATATCCCCTTACAAATGCCAAGATTATTTTCACAAAATATTAAATATTAAATATATTATTTTATTAGTTTTACAATTTAATTACCTTATAATTTAATATTTCATTGAAACTCAATTCCTAAATAACGCCATATTTAATGCGTACGAATAGAATCCATATAGAAGCCATATAAAATGGGCTAAAAAGAGTGTAATCCAACACTTTCATTCTTATTTTAAGGCGACATTTTTATTAATTTAAAAAATATTTTTTAAAAACATTATGAATTACATTATGAATGAAAATGTTGGATGTTTACTTCATAAACCCACTTGAATAGTCAGTCTTTTAAAGAAGATATTTTAAAAATTGCATACTCAATTATTATTTTACTTCATAAACCCACTTGAAATGGTCAGTCTTTTAAAGGAGATATTTTAAAAATTGCTTACTCAATTATTACTAGAAATATTGCATTAAAATCTAGCTAAATCTCACATTTTATCAATAAATTGCAACAATGGACCAGTTTTTTTCAGTGTGGTTGTTAGCCAGGCTAAGCTCGCGATGCGATGCCAATGTTCGACGCCACAGCTCCGGCTTCGGCTCACCTTCCTCCTTGCCTTGCCCGCGGGCGTTCGCTTGTAATTATAATATTTCAACCCAAATGTGACCCGGGGCCATGCGCCAATGATGGATTTCAGCTCTCCGGTCCGTTCCCCCGTCCCTGCCCCTGCCCCCTGCCCCCTGCATATAATGTGGCATATATATACATTTATACAGATATATACACCGAAGAAAGACCGATACGATACCCGAGATACGGAGAGGTGCGCCGTTGTTCCGGGGTTGCTGATGTTGCTGCCGTTGCTGTTGCTGTGCAATTTGCTGCCGGCGGGCCAAGCGGATTGGCCTGCGGCCAGACATGTGAATAAAATTACATTCACTATTTTATATGCCACATGGCTTGTATGTATGGCATTTATCGGCGTTTATATGTTTTGCCGGTGCCATGTGGAAAAATCCTATGTAGGTAGAAATAATTGAATTGGCACATCAGCTAAATCACTCTCAGGCCCGAGTGTTTGCGTATATCTTTATGGGTATGCTGGGTAATGCTGGAACTGGAGACGGAGTCGGAGGCCAGGGCAATAACAAGATTAGATCACTGGAAGAAGAGACCGCCGCTGGCCATCCGGCAATGGAAAAGGGTAGAGCGTAAACGAAGCTGCCACTGACAATCCACAATCCACAGAGCGAGGTCCGAATGGTCGGGCCTGGACCCCCAATCCCAAGACCCCCTCCTCCGCAGAGTGCCTCCCAATCCGTTGGCCTGTTTAAGTTTTCCTCGGAACACGGCCAGGTGAACATTAATCAAGCCAAACAACCAAATAACTTATGGCCCTGGCTAATAGAGACATTCGGCCAACAAGCAGGCCGCAAACATGACGGCTATCGCCATGGCTAGGAAACTGTAAACCTCAGTTAGATAAACAAGATATGTGGGAAGCAATTAGTGGAGAATTATGCTGAGTTTTTATAGTATCTTAATGTCTTGGCTTTCAAAATGCATAAATTAGCGGATAAAGTTGTAAAACGAAAGAAATTTTAGAGAGTTGTATAAGTAAAGTATTGTAAACGTTATAGTTTTATTTACCATGAGTTGATTTTATTTTATTTATTTTAATATACCCCTGAAATTCCTTGTTGATAAGGCATATAAATAGTATTAATTTCATTGATGTGACATACTGAATGATTTATACACATATAAAAATACAACAAAAATAAATGTTAAAACAAATATCAATCAGTTGTAAATCAGAGCCAATAAAGATGAATTAAACACCAAATAAATCCACAATAAAAATTTCAAACAACTTTTACAATAATAACTGTCAATAAATATTCACAAATTGTGGCCGGGATGAATAACAAACAAATTATTACTTATTAATAAAGCTAGCGTTGGCTGAAGTTAACTGATGTTTAAGCTCTGACCAAGCCACTTAAATCACTTATAAAATGCGTGGAAATCCTTTGCGGCAAATGTGGCATTTAAGTGCCACCCAATTGACTCACAGACATACATATACACGTGTGTGTGATGTAGTAATTAAATTGGCATTAATTAAACTTACGTCGCTTCTGTCGGCGGCGCTGCTCAAGTGCCGCTCATTAAGCAATTAAGGGATAATTATCAACGCCGTGCCGTTGCCTTTTTGCAATTTTCATGCGCAAAGTGTTAAAATCACTTAATAGGCGGCCACATCCTGGCCATCCTGTTCTTGTTGTTGCTGCTGTTGTTGTTGCTCCTTCCGCGGCCTGCTGCGTGTGTGTGTGCGTGTGTATCTGTGTGGGTTGTTTGTGAACGCACGCGGCTGTTTGTTTAAGTGTAGCGATAAACGCGGCCACACTGACAAGCTGCGAATGCCGCACACCTGTAAGCAAAATGCCGCTGCGTGGCACGTTTGTATGTGCAATGTTGAGCCAACAACAACATGTGGCAGCAGCAACAGCAACATCAGCAACATCAGCGATTACAGCAGCAACAACTAATGGGTCGCCCGATTCCGTGGAGCATAAGCTCGTATTAATGCAGTTATAAGTGCAACGCACACCGCCACAAACTCCCCCACACACAGTCACACCTGCACTCACACCTGTGAGCGAGGCATATACATACTGACACTTTGACTGACAACAAACCAAACAGGAGCAACATGAGCAACATGAGCAACACGAGCAGCAGCAACATCAGCAGTTAAGCGACCGCCAACAGCCAACTGGCGAGTCAGTCAGTCAGTAAAGCAATTTACAGACATCTGTTACACCTCACCCATCCACCCACCACCCACTGACACCCCTGCAGACACCCAGTCACCCATCCACCCACACAGACACAAACTGCAATCGAGCATTTAGGCAGGGGGGACAGGTGAAACGGGGGGTGCAGGGGCGGGGACAGGTGAAAAAAGCGTGCGAAATGCGTGGAAGCCCCTCAATTAAACGGAAGCTGTGACCAGTCCACGGAATTGAATCACTTGTTCAGCTATTGGTTCAGCCAGCCAAGAGTGGAAAATAGTTCGTAATTGCTTTGCTCACTTTTTAACCCATTCAAAAGGGAAGGCTTAAGGGCATAACGATTAAGATCTTTGAGATAAGATCTGGGAGTTAGCCAAGACATGATATATCATATATTACAGATATTTAAAGCTAGTCACAATACCTTTCTTACTTAGTATGTGGAGTTTAATAATTCATGATTTCTGTAGGGAGCTTTATTTAACATTGGGCAGGATTTGGTTAATATTTTTAAGAAATAACCTATGATGTTTTTTATGTTATGTTTTTTATGTTTATGTTTTTTAGAAAAGTACCCTCTAAATACCTGATATAGGTATTGCTAGTATACCATCGCTAGTATAACCATTCAGACAACCTGTAACTGGATTTCGCAAATAACTTGGGGCTGAGATCTTTGTATACTAGATGAGTTAGTTAAGATTTCTTACAACGTTTATTTATCTTCAGTACAACTAGGATTGTTATAACAATTTCTATACCTCCTCCTTACTATAAATTCTATTTCTTCACAATTTTACTGGTGGCTTTTCTATAATTGGTGAGTGGGCAGTACTCAACCATTTTAACTCTACCCACAAATCTAGTTTGGTTCTATTTCACACTGATAAGCCGATGAACTATTTCGGCCTCTGGTAGTTGAAACAAATGTTGTGCCCCCCTTTCATTGCTGGCCCCACTTGGCATGTGACCCTTGTCATCTCTGGGGTCCGTTTCAGAGACACAGTCCAAATACCATTCCCATTCCAGAATCCGAATCCAAGCCGAAACCAAAACCCAATCCCCATCTCCAGCCCAATTTCGATCCCCCCTCGAACACTTTCGCCTCGGAGCAAATACAAAAGGCCTCATAAATTCCTGTTTCTGTTGTGGCCTGCCTTTTGTGGCTACCCATGGCGTGAGATGCTGATCCGAGAGTCCGTATCCATATCCATCTCTCCAGTTCCCCAGTTCTCCGACTCCAGCTCGGGTCCATAAACGGATTGGCCCCAAGGTGTAAAACTTGCTGTTGCTGCTGCACACTTTTCAAAAATATGCCTGTCAATGCGTGACATTTCATATTTAAGTTATAATCTGCATGCATTACTTTTGGGCCCATAACGACAAGGGGTTTATATATGTATGTGGAAATTTAATGGCATGCTAAATTAACTGCAGGCTAATTTTCAATAAGGCTGACAGGCGTATGTATGTATATACAATCGTGCATATGTGAGTGTGTGTGACGCGCCCTAAATTAATATGCAATGAAATAAGTGAAAATGAGATGAGACAAATACACATGGCAATGCCAGTTTTAGAAATTAAACAAAAACTTAATAAATACCTGCAAGCCATTCAGTTGCAATTAACAATGGGTGGGCCCCCTTCTCGAAAACCACCCCTTTTAGGGCAAATGGGGGTAAACCAAACCACCGCCCAACCACCCACTCCTAACTGTTGCCGCATCGAACATGTTGGAAACATTGAAACCTGTTTTCAAGGCTTATCACATCCAAACCATCTAAATTA